TCGATGTAAAAATTTTTTTGTTCCCAATAATTATCGAATATAAAAAAGAAAAGCAGTTGGGCTTTTTGCGGTTTCATAACAGCTCAAGTAAGGACCAAGGGAAATACGGATTTTGCAAAACATGGTTTTGTACCCCCCACGCCAATGTAAAGAAGAGGCATTTAGCGTGGGCAGAGTACATGAGTACGAATACTAGCTTGCTTCCTTGACAGCGAAGCCTTTCCGTTCTTGCTTTCGCCTTAGCCCGATACAGCAATATGTTGCCCTTAATTGACCAGGACATGGGGATCAGGATAATCAGAGAAGGACGTTGTGACTGGAGTATCAAGAAAATGAGGAAAACTCTGAGAAGGCTCGTATTTTTGGCGCGGGCTATGTCAAGACATACTTAGCTGTGGATCGGCTTAAAGACGTTGTGCACAAGATCTCCAGCGAACTCTGTTGCGTTCTGAGTACGCGAAAAACGAAGTGATGCGATGTGGCTTGTTCGTATGACTTCTGCCATCTTGGTCGACTAACCAGCATCGTCTAGCTCCAATTGTTACCTAAAATTTGAGAATGCTGAAGGTCAGGAATAACGAATGGCTTGTGGCATGGATTAACGGGTGTCCTTTTGGATGCCGTGTTGGTTTCTTTTTCTTCCATTGTTAGTTGCCTGTCGTTGGAAGGATTGTCGGTTCAGCAATCCCCATTTTTGATACCATACCATAACTACGGAGAACCCCATCTCCCATTCAACCATCTGATAACCCAACATAAAATGCAGGCCTAATGGAGGTTGTTTCAGGGGAAGGATCCATTGTTACCTTCCCAGCCGCTTGCGTGTTGGAGATGTAACTGCCTCGTGGCAAGCATGAGGATGAAAGTAAGTACTCCTTGAGAACGGTGGTTTTTCAACGGGCTTCCATCATCAGTGATAATATCGTAACGTACGCTATGCCATCTCAGTTTATTTTGCATAACATTTTGCCATGTACCCCACGCTGCACAACCTCCTTAAAAAATACGAAACAAGGGTTTTGTCAAGAATAGTATAGCAATGTTCGAGCTCCAATGGACGCTGGTCGAGTATTCATCAATTCCGCACTTAAGTGAGCGTCTTATTGTTTAAACGGGATGTGCGGAAGGAGGATCAAGCACAAGGGAACCTCCTGGTCTGTTTATTTTCCACCTGCAAAAACTCTTTTTTTGCTGCGCTGGGGGCTGGGTTGTGCTTGACAGGGCTGTATCATACCTCCTATGCCGTTTGGGGCTATATTGGTCAGGGAGGTGGTATATTATTAAGATATTTACCTATCCTCGGATGGATGGCGGAGCTTTATCTCGATTTATCCATCTATCCGAGCCCGAGAGATTTGAGTGTCGCTGGCCATGTGGTCCGCAGAAGTTGCGGCTGTCCCCCTGGCCCCTTGTCAGACTGCTAGGACAGCCATGGTTAGCTGCCAGCCACAGTGCCCGATCAGGAAGGTCTTCTCTTGCTGCTCGGGTGATTCGTTGGCGCTGAACGCCGTTGAACGTCAATCCTGCGCAATTAAGTAGGGCTGGCTAGCAACTAGTTCACACCCCTGCCAATAATCACAAGTACATGGCCCTTAAAATTCGCACTTGTACTAGTGATACGCTGACCGTGACCATACAGATTCCCCCTAATTCCGTTCGGACTCTGGGGCAGATCACGGGGTTTGCTTTCTTTTTGTTCTAGAAGCCTGTAAATCGAAGTTAATGTTGTTCGATTTCTTTGCTTCTTTCGTTTCATCGCTCTGGTCATCTGCCCTATGAAAGTTGGAAAACCCTCGTTTGTGTCGATTATCGAAGGCGGCGGCCACATCCTTTCTCTCCAGCGAGAAACCTAGTTAATGAAACGAAGCGTAAATAGACCTGTGATACGGAGTAACTCATCCTCGATAACGGCAACATATGATTTTGTGGCGGCGATGGCTCTGGACTCTTGATCCTAGATGTATGGCGGTACTGGATCAGCTTTAATGGGGGGAAGGTTAGCTGATGTGCCCATGTTCATATCGCTGTTTCTGGAGAATTGTTCCGTGATATAGCATCGAGGTGGCATGGAAGTATACATGTGGAGGTTTTTGCTCCTGGAATCACTCCCTTACTCCGTACTTCGTACAGAACACTGTGCATTGGGTTAGCTGACGGGGGAACATGGGCATGGGTCTGCGTATCGACCTGGTTCATCAATCATTCAGGTCGATTGGAGTGCATGGTAATAGCCTGATACCCAGTACAGCCCGCCCCGCTTTGTGATAGCAAGTGAAAGTACTCTGTCGCAATTGCACTGCCTATCTGAGCTGTCCATGCAAACGAATGGTGTGATTCACTCTTCCATCACTAAATATCACTGTAAATTCCATTGGCTGGGAAGAAACTAGGCGCTGTCATGATTCCCAAAAGAATCCTCTTTGGAAATCTCCCCATGCCATGTCGTAATATCGCTGCATATACCTTCTCATTCCGTTGAAGGATCTGCTTCTAGCACTGTGCGTGCAGCCAGTCAAGTATTGTTCAAGAGGCTCATTTTCAAGTCATCTGGCAACGTATGCTTATGTCTGTCACAAAGATTCTCACCAGTCAGCGCAGGACAATAAGCGATGTCGATACGGCGTAAACATTTGAAAGTCGACTGCCCTAGCTTGGTTGAATGCGCACCCCCTTGGTTTTATATATTTTCGCGCTCAAGAGCTCGGTACCACATCCTGTCCACGTGGAAGGTATACTCGATCCTCAGCTGGTAGTTCAGGGAATTAATCTCGTCCATTCTGGAGGGCAAGCAGAGCCGAATAAAGAGTCGGCAAATGGATAGAACCTTACACTGACTTGGCTATCGGCATAATAGCTGACCCCCTGTAGTTATATGCGGAGTTCACAAGCCGAATCCCAGCTCGTCTCCCAGAAAACCATCCAGACCGCCCTGTCGTTGTCCGAAGGCCTTTGTATGGGTACAAGCAGCTACCGTTGCCACCTTCCTAGTTGACTTTATCCTCCTTTCCATTTTTCTCTCGTAGTTTATTGAAGAGGATCTTCACACTGTTGCATTCCGGACGGGGAGTTATCATGGAGAGACCGGTTTCTGCATATCCCCTCGTTTATTAGTAGTTACCTATTCTTTTGCTTCTCCGCCTTTTTCTCGAGACTTTTTCAAATACGGAGCCAGGTTAAATGGCATCTGGTATAAAACCTGGGATAGCGTTTTAGAACGTCTCCTTACAGAACGTTACCGATATTTCAATGTCCAAAAACTGGAGGGCCAGAAAAGTTTCCAAGGGTAGCTCGGACGGAAGCGCGCGCCAGTGAGATTATCAAGATAGCAACATCCATTTGACATGCAGAGGCGCTGAGAATCAGTGTTGGAAGCCTTACTATTTCTTCTATACTGTCAACACACCTGTCATCTTCATCCTGGGGTTTGTAGTAGTAGGCGAACATTCGGGGTGTAGCCGCAGCTAAGTGCCATTCTCAAGCGCGGAGATAAAAGTGAACAGGTCATTCTCAATGGAGCATGTGGGCAGGATGATTATTGGTACCTCTGTGTGGCGAAAGCATAAGGTTAGACTGAGGGGGATAATCCTCCGCGGATGCGTTGATAAGTAATCCTACTCCGTACCACACCGTCTCAGGGTGTACCCCTCCTTTCGATTTGCAAAATCGTGTCTCTAGGAGGAATGTCTGCATATATATACAATCAGTAAGGGAGGGGGGGGGGGTTCAATCGAATTTTTTACCTTGAGAAGTCGCAGGGTACTTGAAAGGGCTCAACTGAGCTGGTGAATTACACAATCATTCTTCCAATTCGTAATTCATAGGCGAACACCAGTAATATAAGACGTTGTATGTCATACAACATTAAAATGGCTTCTTGCGCATTAAAGACATGGGTCGTTAAAGCCGCAAAAATATAGAGTGGTAGGTTGCTGGATAAAAACCGCGGAAGTCTCTTTGACTTCGACCATGGTTGGAACATTTAGTATCCATCTCAACATTTTGATATCTTCAGCTAAGGCTGAGGCTTTACTGCAGGGACCAGGATTTCATTTATCCGGCTGCTATGCAAGTAAGCGTGTAGGTAGGAAGTCATATGCAATAGCTTCTGTGTATCAGCCTTGGAATTTGGATTTCTCTCGGACTCCTCCGCTATCCATGGGAACAACAGAAATGGCGGAGAATGAACCCTTATTTTCAACTGCGAAGGATTAGGTATCATATTAAGGCAGCTGATCAATGCGATACGAGAGTAGAAGCTAAAGGGTGACGGGCGGTATAAACCACTTTTCCTCGCAAACGTTGAATTCATGGGATTAGGTTATATATAGAAGGAATTGAACTTGTCACCCCATGTTGAATTAAATTGCCTATCGTGGTATCAGGGCTTCATCTAGGGTGGCATCTCATCTCGCACTGATTTCCTCAACGAGTATGAGAAGCGATGAATGCTTCTAGATGCTCAAAGAGCAAAGGTATGTTCAATATGGACTTTGATTTAGCACTTCTTGTTGGTTACACAGAGAGTATTTTCCGCATCGGTGAGTTTTAACCTGAGTTTCCTTGGGCACCTCGTGTCATTTGAGCGTCGGATATTCGTCTAAGATCGCGGTTCATTCGAAACACCGTAGGTAGTTCAGGTAGTACGGAACTGGAAACAATAGGCATGACCCAACAGCTCTAGCAACTCCCTAAGACGATGGAGTAATATAAGGTTGGTTGATAACCTGGTTGGAATAACTATCAATGGCCTCAGACTCAGAGATCAATAGCAGACGTTCTGTCAGCCTGGGAATATTCAAAGACGAGGTTCTTTTAAAGTGTTGCTAGTCGCTAACTAACACGCGCTTGAGCCTCCTTTCCTGATCTGGACTTAGTTGATTCGCTTGTTAGGCTAAGGTTGTGAGTTAAATGAAACAACGCCTCATCTGCTAGAATAATAATAACAGCAACCACCATAACGCCTGTTCCGAAAACTAGATATCCTGCTCTGATACCTCCCAATGCTGTCACTATTTGGCTATGCCCTTGCTGCTATCCTCATAATAATTCCTCTCTATATTTTGTACAAACCTCCCAGATTTGTTATCCGGTTTGCCCAGCGCAAATGGGAAGATGTCCTGTGGAATGTTGCGACGTCTAAACGGATAGTTGCGCTTACAATTGATGATGGGCCATCGGAGTACACGTCAGAGATACTAGATATCCTTAGATCTAACGACGCGACGGCAACTTTCTTTGTTATCGGATCCCATGCAACACCTGATCGTGAGGAGATTCTGCGCAACCTCATCCGCCATGGAAACGAATTGGCGAATCATGCTATGCGTGACGAGCCCTCTTATCTGTTAAGCGAAACAGAACTCATCGATAACATCAACTGCGTTCAGAAGATAATATCTGATATCGAAGCCACTGCCCGTCCAGGAGCAAACGATGTGGGCTTGGATAGCAAAATGGCTCAGAGCGCCTTGTATTTTCGCCCAGGAGGTGGATTTTTTTCCACAAAAATGAGGGAGATTCTTTCAAAAATGGGATACCATCTCACCCTTGGAGATATCTATCCTCACGATCCCTTCGTGCCATTCTGGAAAATCAACAATTGGCATATATTGAGTTCCATACACCCCGGAGGAATAATAATCTGCCATGACGGGCGATCTTGGACGCCACCAATGCTACGGAAGTTATTACCAGAACTGAAGCGTCGTGGTTTCCAGGTAGTTACTTTAACTGCGTTGTTGAAAGAAGGAAAATGCACTTAATACTTCTACACCAACATATCATAGGTAATTCTGTTATCGATGTGATATCTATGGGCCTCGTATGGACGAGTTATCTGCATACTTTAATGTGATTGAATATACATACCACGGAGCATGTGTATGATATAAACCAAGTTAGATTTATTTTTTTTTTTTTCTGCTTTTTCTTTTCTTGTAGACCTGTACTCTAGTAAGGACGGATTTCTTCTCCAGCTATGGAATAGTTTACAAACCAACACCTCACATTTTGATGGGCTCAAGTAAGTGCTGCTCCTGGTGGATAAATGGTTTTTTCATCCACTATACAGAGCTTTTCAACGGAAAAACTCCATGCTGTTTGTTCTTTGATACTTCATTGTCTGAGAATCTGGACAGAGTTAACAAGTCCTTGGTGAGAGGAACCAAAGTATAAGGTATATGATAAATCACCCGTACACACTACTTAGACTCTAGATAACCGATTTTCTGGCGCATACATATCTTGTTTTTTCTCAGTATTGGCTGACACAGAATATCCATAGTGTCAAGCCCTGCCATACCTCTGGAAACAACTTCACTGAATTGCTTTATGACAGATTGCAAGTTACAGCTCCTTGAGCTATACATCACACATATTTGTACATCGAGTACCCCCTAGAACAGGTAAGCGAAACTGTAGTAATAGGCGAGGGGCTTTGCGTCAGTGAGCTACTTATTCGCCTGAGCTGAGTTCTGGTCACAAAACCAGCGCTTGTGGACTGACAGAGCAGAGGGCTGACTTGATCGGGCCTGTCAATCGTGCAAGGCCCCTTGTCCCTCCCCGTTAACTGACAGGGCCAAAAGAATCTACCCCTTTTCGGCCTTACAGATCACTTTTACTCTCAGCGCTCACAACTCCGTATGATAGCTCTCGCTGCGAGTTACTAGACCTCCCGTCGACAGTTGAGGTTACTGGTCTGGTTCCCGTCTAACTAACTCGTTAGTTAAGTTGACTGGTAACTCACTACCTAGGTAGTTACTTGCTCACGTGCTTGCATGCGGCTCACCAAGACTTATCTTGACTCACAAGCAGACATCACCTTCTCCCTTTTCCCTGCCTTCTCACCAACATCTAGAGCATCAAATTCAAAAGAGCACGTCACAAGCTGCCTCGGGGCCCGTTATCCAACTGTCCGCTTTGCTGATACTGTTCTGTTGTCTCTTCGCTGTCGCTCTCCGTTCGCCCGTTTCTCAAGGTCACCGGATGACCTGCATGGCGACGGCCAACGCATGCTAGCTGGGACTGACATCAATACTTCTAATCTGAGTACTGGTACAAAGTTACACCAAAAGTATGTGAATTGTATGCTTTGCTTTAGCGAAAAGCAGTTAAGTTCCACATAATTATTTCGACGTCCACGAAGCCTCGTTTCAACCGCGTTCGTTGGGCTGATATAGTTACTTGATGCAGGTCGCGGACTTTGCAGCTCTGTGCTGGACTGCAGAACTTGTTGCTTGTTTTCCTCTCTTACATTTTTTCCCTTCAACATTGAAGAAGCTCTGTATGCAGTACTGTGACAAGGCTTTCGAAGCTCTTCTGGCACTTAGCTCCCGTGTTGAAGTGACGAAGTTATCTTGACTTCAAGCCTTGCAACCTAGGAATACGGGAACCTTACGAGGTAACAAGTAGTTACCTCTCGTCTATCAATATCCCAACAATCCTATTTCCGGAGACTCGGTTGATTTCTCAGTGTGCTGCAATGGCAGGTATACACGGTAAGCCAGTCAGTTGACATCCATATACCCATTTGAGCCTTACAGCCACATGTTGAAGCGACAGTTATTGAGCACAAGCGCAACGATGCCGTGTAAACATACTGCATCGTCATCCCCTGTCTCTGAGCCTATACTTGATCTATAACCCTTTAAAGACCTGGTTATATGGCTATGATGAAATTCCTCAATTGCTTGGCCTGACATTTGGTCGCTTTACCAAGTCATCTTGCATACATATCGCATTGTAGCCTACCATGAGGGATAATATGCATCATTACTCCTAGATCCCGAAAAGCTGGTTGAGCGCTTATATGCATGCCAGTGAGCGTCAAGCAGTATAACTTCAGTGTTGCCTTTAAGGAAGACCTGCTTATAAGACCTAATTCTTTAGGTGAGGATCCACCAGTACCTCTTCGAGCACCGCCAGAGCATGCTTGCAGAAATGTAGCTGCTGTTCCCCATCAGTTTGAAGGTAGGAAACCTAATCACCGTTCACTCCGTTAGTATATTGTTTAAATTTCATAATTTAAGGGAGAACAGCCAGCAATGTTCGTTTTCAACCCATTTGGTATTTGGTATTTCCTTGACACGGTTTTGCAATTACATTTACCTCCTTTGGTCATTGCAGCTCTACTGTTCGATTATTTTTAAACCACCCCGGGCATGTGCCACAGGGTAGTTGTATCACAACACCGCATGTCGCGCATTTGTGGAGCTTTCTATGCTTGAGATAAATTGTCTGTCAGAAGCATATTCATTTGTATAATCACTTGCTTGTTTTTATCCCGGTTCGGGCTTCTTTCCTACTTTGCAATGTTTTAATCAGCGTCTTTCTATACTTCTACGATTTACCCGAAGATACTGACTATTGCTAAGCTGTCTCTAGCGATACTCATGGTACCGTCAACTTTACTCCGCTTCCCGGAACTTTTCAGCAAGAATCGGAAATACCCGATCAAGGGCGAAATGACCCCTGTGAAACGGATTTTATCCCGAGTGAGAACAGCCCACCCAGGTTCAAAGAAGAAAAGGGGTTCACAAGGCAGTTATTTGGACTGCCTCTAAGCAACCAACGACCAACAGCCGCTTCTGAAGATGCTCATTTTGTTCAGAAACCTGTATCACGTGCGGAAATGGAGAACCCGAGGGAGTTTCAAATTAATCAAATCCGCCGTAGGTTCAGCCCGAAGGAGCGCCATGACGCTCATGCCACTCATCTGACGTTCACTATGAAGCCATCGGACCCAGACTTTTCCTACGATCTTACCGGCCTAGACTGTATTTTAAGAGTTCCTGCGACCTATCCAGCCTATGGTGAGCCTTCTCTTGAAGTGAGCAACGGCAATCTAGATGCGAGTAGGAGAAAGCTTGTGGAACAAAAGTTCAAGCAAGTGTCGAAAGATGTCAAGTCTGGTAACCTATTGTATTGCATGAATGCCCTCGACAGGCATCTTGCAAATCTTCTTTCTGCTACTCCCGTTCCGGATACATATGATCCCCTATCTGCGGAAAGGTTACGCTCTACTATGAGTTTCGAATACAAGGCGCCTTCTGATAACCAGAAAAACAAGAGGGTAGCCAGAGCATCAGAAACAGGAGATCCTCAGAGAAGAATGAAAGAGGTTGGACAGTTAAAATCCCGCCTGGGTAAACATCCTTTATTCCTAGCACATTCGGACCAGGTCAGTTTTACGATTGCTATCAAACCGTTTCAACCGATGCAGCTACCAAATGCCCTCCGCAATATAAAAAGCATAATCTTGATAGTGCCGTCAAATTATCCCGGAGAGCCATGTCGAATCAAGATTCCTGACATTAATGACAGTTCTGCCCGAGTGACAGAACAGGCATTCTATCAGCACTCCATGGATAGTCCGGGAATCAGTCTAACCGCTCACATTAACTACCTCGCTGCAATGATGCACAAAATGTCATACCAAGAACCCATTGAACAAGAGGTAGATCTTCATGAGGAATTAAGTGCATTATCCTTGGAAGAACAGCCTCATGACAAGTGGTCGCCACCATCGCCGCTCGTAAAAGCATCCCAATTAACTACTGTTAACGCAAAGCCCCAAAACTCGGAAGGCAAATCACATATTCAAGTTATCCCTAGGCCTCCTGAGTGGGAATCCCCTGATGAAACTGACAGTGAGGAAGGTGATGATGACACAACTGCTGAAAATCATGCGCATTTTGGGAGTGGCCGCAAGGTCTTAATATCGTGTCCGGCACTTGAACTTCAAGGGGTTGAATTGCTCCAGTTAAAGAGTTTGTCCCTGACTCTTAGATGTGCCCGGTGCAAGCAATTACAAGATATGAAGAATATAAAAATCGGGGAAGATGGCCACAGTACCCCTCATTATAGGGTTGAAAGCTGTCGAAAATGTTCAAATCGACTCAGTGTAGGTAAGCAAAGATTCAAGGGACTATGACTATGAGGTTAAAAGTGGCGTTTGCTGCTGCGCTTCTCTTCGTTTTGGCTTATCTTGGTGTTTTTATTCATATATCTCCTTTACTGATGCTGCAATATATCCTAGGCTTTTACCGTGAGCTCATACATAGCGGATCGAACCGTGCGGGCACATTAACCCTCGAAGGATGCACTCCTACCGACCTACTTCCAAGGTAAGAAAAGAAATATCCTACCTTTTGAGAGGAGAAGGGAGTAGTGAAGGCTACGGCCCGTTAAATCCCCTCCTCCTTCATACGTCATACAAAACCATCATAGGCTTGTGGGACTTGGATGGAGCCTGGCTAATCCATACGCTTAGCAATTTCACTCCGACCTGTTCGAAATGTTCCACCACATATCCTGCACCGGGCGTCACAGCCTTCCAAGGAGATGCTTCCCTGACATTTTGCCGCGCCTGTCACCAGAAGATGAGTACGTCCTGTCTTACGATGAAATGCACTTATTGTCCAATCTAGTCATTGCCCGCCATAGACGGGATCTCCTATTCATCAGAAATATTGGTCTGTTGACAACTTACGAATCGGGGTGTTGAATGATAGGTTTTAAACTTCCTGATATTAAATTTTTACTCGTCGGTGATGTTCAAGGTAAGTCAGATGGTGTTCTGATATTTATTTATTCCGTCTTCAACACGAATACCCTACTACTGGCTTGATTTCAACTCCTGGTTATGCCTAATCTCATATTAGCCTACTACGGACGCCCTCATACCAAGTCTCTGGGAGGCAAATTTCTGGGCATGGATAACCCCCAACTGCATGTCATCTTGTTGATCTTTTAAGGTCTGACGGGGAAGATTTACTTTCCCAGGTTGCATTTTTGCCTAGTCTCAATTTTATATGCCAAGTTAAACATTCGATTTTTATATTTATTTATTTATTTTATTTTCGATTTGTGACTATCTTGGAATACCAACGCGTGCCTTCCCTTTGGCCTCTAACTATAGTCTCGGAACGCTAACATTCATCAATTCTAGATATTTTACGCCCAGGTCGGCAACACAAAAAGGTTCGAGATCGGCCCGCAAGCCAAAATTTTACCCTAGATGCTTCTCGAGACTCTCCCCCCCTCTCCCCTTCTCCTTCTCCTACTTGTTCTTTGTCTTTCCCCACCACACACAAGAAAATATATTGGTTGAACACACTGAACCCCTGGCATGCTGGTACGCTGACATACCTTTTTTTTTCTTCTTTATAGCGGAATGAACTGTTGGGGATTACTTCAGGAAGTGAACTACCTCGTCGAGGAGCATGTACTCATTATAGTAAGAGCTATAGGTGGTTTAGGTGAGTTTCTAAATATTCCTATCTTATTACCAGGATCTACATCCGTTTGGTATTTTTTATACCTGGTTGGCTGTGAATATTCCTAACGCTGTATTATAGGTTTAGTTGCTGTTCAAGAGTGTTTCCATGTGATAGGTAATTATTTTTATATGGCTATAAAGAGCATGGTTTACATGTTCAAATAACATCTTCTAATTGCTTCCCTCAAGGTGCCATGACGCTTCATCCGACCATCCGAACGAACATGCGAATCGAATGATCTGGTATACATTGCCCCTATTATCTAGCAGCACGATGAAAATTTGATTTCACATTTGCCAGTGATCTCTGCTAAATATTTATGTCTTCATCAATGTAGCGGTTTCTGCTCTCGTGAGCAGTTGTATCGGCCGGAGAATTGCGGTCTATGCAGGTCTTTGCTTGTTGATAAAACCTCCACTGGCTTTTGGGAGGGAGGCAAAGGTACTAGAAACAAGCAGCTGATGAATAGGAAAGGTAGGTAGTTATTCTGGAGGGATAATCGTCCATTACTATCAAAATGATTATTCAGAGAACTAACGGTTTTCCCTATGTTTAGATCCAATAAAATATAAGCGGCCGCAACCAGCTGCACCAGGTTCCTCGCGTATCAGATAACTGCCAAGCTGGTGTAAAATCCCAGCTGCCATATCATAATTGTTTGATCGGGTCTATGACATCAATAATTATAACATGTTATTTGATTCCCTTCTGGTAGTGGAGGTCGAGAGTTGGACTATCCTAGTGTACAAGGTCTTTTGTCTTGTGATTCTTTATGTATGTATATATTTTGTTTAAGCCCGCACCAAATATTCAGTATAATATAGTTTGACTAGAAGTGTTACCTTAACTAGATAAATTTAACCGTATCTTCTATACGCACTTTCACTATTGAGATAAAAGATATTGTCACGGTTTGATTAATCATTTTGGCGCAACCTAGGCAGCATATTCTCAAGCTATCATCGCTCTATAGCTACAATTAATTTCCCTTCAATACTGTGATATTAGCGTATACAGCCGCGAGTGATGGTTGGGTAAGCATCCATGCTAAATGACGATAGGTAATTGCGAACATATCGCGCTGACATTGGACACATTAGTCTTAGATATTCAGAGCTTTTTTCATCATCTGGATGTCTGACCAATCGGCCTTCTGAATACGTAGTATCCTTAGCTTTTTGTCTCCTAGTTGGTGGTTTGAGAAGTGTTGTCTAGGAGGCTTAATTCTGAAATGTGAGCTATTTTCTTGCAAGAGGATGCCGACAACTCTACACATTTTGGGCGACTCCGCTCTGTGGCTCGGGATACCCTGTATAGAATTAAAATTTCCGCCATGGACATGAATGCGGCTAGTCTCGCAGTTAGTCAAAAAGTATCTACCCACTTGGCTGAGATAGCTACTATGTTGCCATCCGCTCCATTCTCCCACTAGTTGAGGAGGATATGCAGGGAAGAATATATCCGAGAAGGTAAATTTTTGGATAGGTCCGCTGCGGTAAGATTCGGTCACAAATGCATAAAGCTCCACCAAGGTAGTTCTTGGAAGAGACTTCTCATTTCTGATAACCGGGGTATTATGGAAAGCAAGGGCTTCACCAATGCGAAAATGTGTCCGAAGGAAAATGTGGTCTGAGCTCAACCCTTGAACTGCAGATGGCTCTATTACATGAGAAGGAAATGTGCGGCGAATAAACGGATCAAGGTTAGTAGACTAGAAATGCATCGGGTTGGGGGTGAAAAATCAGTATGCCTGACATAAGGATCACTCATTCATTTTTTTTTAAAAAAAAAAAAAAAGAAGGCAAAACGGTGCGTCGACGTACCTTTGATCTATGGCTGCGATAATATTTATCTACAGGGGACCTATTGTACGTGCTGGTTTTCCTAAAACCAGGGTTGATATGTAAAGAAATGTTGACATCCACAAAATTTTGATTCGATGTAGACGCTTCGTGTGTGTATGTATTTGTATTTTCGTAGAACGAACGAATCTCTGGAGTCCTATTATAATCGTCAATTCCAGGAATACGGTCAGTAGGCCTATAAAATTGGATTGATACTGTTGGTTGAGTGGTTATTGCGGGATGCCACTGACAGGGGTTCTATTCTACACCTCATATTGTTATCAGTTGAAGTGAATTCAGAAGGCCTGGCTTCACGGTGACTTGCGACTGGCCAAGTATCATCATTTATAGGGCTCTAAAGTCAAGACTCAATTAGACTAAAAGTGTCTTGGTATGAAAAGAAAGACAGGAAGGGAAAAGATTGCAGAGGGTCAATAAAACTAAAGCAAAAGAAACATGAGTAGGTGATGATGGTCTTACAGTAAATTCATCGTCTACAGGTATATCAGAAGATACAAACTCTTCCCTCTTGCCGAGATCCGGGTGAGATGACAGTGACTCAGGTGACGCATTTTGAGGGGATATATATGTATCCGTATCCGTTGGACTAGCATATATGTTCGTATGCCTTGGCGAGATGACCATGGTGGCTTTCTTATCGAAGGCACAATGATATGGCAAATCATGTTTCATTATATGATCTGCTTTAGGAAATGAAGTCTCTACACCTTCAGTAGCGGTCAGTTCATCGGAATTCCAGTGTTCCATAGTTCCAGTTGGATGGGTATCTGGGTATCCACCGGACGAATTCTCATAATTGACAAGATCGACTTCCATATCTGATTTTGTGGTAGTACGTATATCAGTAGTATCAATTTAGGCCTCCTGTAAGTGGGTTATTGAGAAGATATAAATGGTTATTAGAAGTTGTACTCTTTATGGTTCAAACAACTTTTTAACAGAAGTTTGATGTTCAATTAGACTGATTACCTAATAGATTAAACCTTATTACATAATCCTTCCTTGTTGCTTTGGTGATTGCTATCAGTTATCATGGACACAGGGTCTTGGAACTGACAGCAGACCTCACTCAACTCCGGGGAAACAACGAGAATACGAAAATGTCATATGCTTTGGCTTCAAAGAAACGAAAGTTTCACCGTGTTCTAGACTCCATCTCCCTCGGAGCCTCTCAGAGACCAACATCAGCACAGCAATCCTCATCAGGCAACAAGCTCATGCTTGACGGAACAGCACAAATAAACCCTTCAATAAAACGTGTTCGATTATCAGGAAGTGATAATTTCGACGATTCACCCGTTCTACTCTCAGGAAAAGCAATCTCCCGGCATTCGACGCCTTCAACCGCATCTTTACGACCTAGCTTTGTACCCTGGGACCGCGAGCGATTTTTGGAACGACTAGAAACGTTTCGCAACGTTGAACGGTGGAAGCCGCAGCCAGACACTATAAATGAAGTCCAATGGGCAAAGCGAGGATGGTCGTGCACCGATAAGAACCGAGTTGAGTGCGTTGGCGGGTGTGGCCATTCTGTTGTTGTTAAGTTGCCCGACGATATAGATGAACTGGAAGAATACGACAGTGAAAAGATAGCAGATCGGAGAGAAGTTCGTATGTGCTTCTAATTATAACCGATTTGAACAAGCCTCACTTGTACTGATGGTCACAAATGTAGGAGCCCAATTGGTCCTCAAATATCAAAATCTAATTGCTGAAGGACATGCTGATAAATGCCCTTGGAGGAAATCTGGTTGCGATGGTATTACGCCTCGAAATGAGCATATATTTTATTAGAATCTTACTAACATATTGATAGACTCAATACATCGTTTGCCATTAACTAACGCAGAGACGACATTGCGGAATCTCCAGACACGATATAAAAACCTCGTGTCAGCCGGTATTAGGCTTCCACCGATAAATGTTCTTATCTTGCCTGAGAAATTTAACTTAGAATCAACGCTGGCCTTCCTACCACCCGGAATCCTTGATAATCGCGCGGAAATAACTGAACCAGCGAATTTTGTGCCAAGTAGTGATACAGAAGATCCCACGGAAAAGACATTACCAGCTGTTAACAAGGCCGCATTCGCTCTTGCGTTCTTCGGATGGGATATCGCTGGCGAAGCAAATGCTGGCTTGGCTGGCTGTAAGGCGTGTTTCAGGCGGTTGGGACTATGGATGTATACGCCAAGGGAAGATGGAAGTGATCCTCTCTACTCTGAATTAAATATTGTTGGTGAACATCTGGACTATTGCCCTTGGATAAACCCTGGATCCCAGAGCGGAAACAAGTTTGGGCAATGCGGCTGGGAAGCCCTAGGTCGTGTGGTGGAAAGTGAACATCGACGGTATATGTGGTCTAAAAATAAGCCACGGCAAGCTGAACAAACCTCGTCAAGCCAAACAGAAAACATCCCTGAGTTACTAGATGAGGAGACCAGAAAGACCAAAGACAGGGAGTGGTGGGCGAAGCTTTTGCGCGTCCGCCAGGTCCTTCAAGCAAAGGGAACTAAAAAGACAAAACTACAGTGAATTCCAAGCTATGATACCCTAATTGAGTTAATTTATTGTTTACCATAATACACAATATATGCCAAATCTGCTTGTAGTCACTCTGAAAGCGATCAACGTATCCCAAACATTCCTAACCGAGATTCCCAAGTTGATGGATAATATTAGGCGCGATAGACGCGTAGCCGGCGCATAAGTACCATCCGCGGCTATTTTAAACTTCAACTTTGCGACCAAGTTTGCGGTTTTATCCTCACTTCAACCGTCCAACCGTGCCAATCTCAGATAGAGCTACAAGCTATTCACAGTTAACAGGCCCCATTTTAACTTCTGAACTCATACGCTTTGGTGGAGAAAAGACATCTTCTGTGGTTGGGGCCATAGCCATCCGCATCACAAGCCAGGACCACACCAATGGAAGCTCCAACCATAGAAGCTAACGGGGAGTCCTCTCCTCCGGCTACCTCAGAGCCGCCACGAACCCAAGTTAAAGAAACGGATGGATCTACTCCTTCGACAATTGAAACCCATGGGGATGTGGTAGACGGTATCCGGAATACCCAGAATGCCCAGAGCCCAAATGAGAAGAAAAGAAAGCTCACTGAGAGCGAACAACAGCAGGACAAGACGAAACAACAGGAGCACCAACCGCGCTCTAAACGACGGAGACAGGAAGAACGACTACAAAGGAATAGAAAACGAGGAAAGACACCTCCATCTGCTTATTCTCGCCGCGATGTCCCCGTACCTGAAACGAGACGATCCCCTTCGCCGATTAGGCGCACTCCCTCCCCCGATGCGCCAGTTCGACAGCGCAAGAGGCCCGGTGGAGGCGCAAGGATAAACGCTGCAAACATGGAAGCTCTTAGGAGAAGGCAAGAGGAAAGAGACCGCCAACAGCAAGCTGAAGCTGAACAAGCTGCACATGCCCGCGGGGTTCATGATGTGGTGAGGCAGCATTATAATGCTGTTCCCGAGCGTGGGCGAGAATGGCGAAAAACTGAGAGCAAGATTAAGGGTCTCCGCAGCTTCAATAACTGGATTAAAAGTTCGCTTATCCAGAAATTTTCCCCAAGTGAAGACTTCTTAGCCAGGCATAATGACAGGGATTTGGCTGGTTCCGCTTCTGTAGCGCCAGAGGAAGAGAAACCTCTCCTGATTGTTGACCTTGGATGTGGCAAAGGTGGTGATCTTGGTAAATGGCAACAGGCACCTCAACCTGTGGAGCTTTATGTTGGCTTGGACCCGGCAGATATCTCCCTTGATCAGGCGCGCGAACGATACATGCAAATGAAGAACCAACGAGGTCGGGGACGCCGAGGAAACCCGATCTTTCACGCTCAATTTACTCCAAAAGATTGCTTCGGTGAATCACTTGCAGATGTCCCTATAATCCAACGAGTTGGAATTGATGAGTCCGTTGGCCCTGGAGGCTCAATGATGAGCTCTCGCTGGGGTGGAGGGGGGTTCGATGTTGTAGTGTCGATGTTTACGATGCATTATGCTTTTGAAAACGAGGTCAAGACCAGACAGATGCTTAAAAATGTGGCTGGATTACTCAAAAAGGGAGGTCGATTCATTGGGGTCGGTCCTAACTCGGACGTAATTAGCGCAAGAGTTGTGGAGGCCCATAAAAAACGCAAACAAAAGGAAGAGGATGCGAAGAAGAAAGCGGCCGAGGAACCAGAGGATGGGGAGGTAGAGGATAGTACGGATGTGGTTGAATGGGGGAACAGCATCTACCGTGTGAAATTTCCAGGAAAGACCCCAGAGGACGGTGTGTTCCGTCCTGCATTCGGCTGGAAGTATTTCTACTTTATGGAGGAGGCGGTCGAGGAAATCCCCGAATACGTTGTGCCATGGGAGGCATTCCGAGCGTAGGTTCTCACCCCCTATATTTTTAAATTTCTTTCTTGCTCATACACTATTACAGACTAACCGAAGACTACAACTTGGAGCTTCAATACCGAAAGCCCTTCCTGGATATATGGCGAGAAGAAAAGGATGATCCTGTCCTAGGACCACTCAGTGAACGTATGGGCGTTCGATCTAGAAATGACGGCTCCATGCTAGTGAATGAGGATGAACTAGAAGCAGCGAGTATGTTTGCTGTACTCCCTTCTGTCTTGGATCCTCTGCTAACACCCTCGTCCAGGTCTATACCATGCGTTTTGCTTCTACAAGGTGTAGCTGCTGACTCTAAGAGATATTTGTATACTGTCTAACATCATTCTTGAGTGTTGGAAGCAGTCACTCTTGGATCGATAATATAACTCTAAGCAACCATCTATTATCATTCTGTTTTATCAAGTTCTAGAAGACAATAAGAAGCAATGATATGACTACTATATCAGGACTAGCGCCTTCGCGTCGCGCTCTTATCAGATCTTAGAGTATTTTTCTCCCAACATCAAGTAGCACCGACGCTCACTCTACCGCTTCGAATGACTGAACCAACACACTTCTCTTGCAATATTGTCTATCTGTATCTACTGCAATGTCCCGTACTACGCAGCGGGCCAGCACATCGGAAGCTATGGGTGCACCGCTTGAGCTCCCTCCCTACGAACCCCAAATAGCGCCGCTTACAGCCAACGCAAAGCGCAAGGTCGACACAGTGATCAAATCCTTTCATACGCGGCATTTGAAGATCCATTTAAGTCATGCTACGGGAGCGCTATCAGACTCTGTTGGGGACACCAATGACAGGCTCACAGAGGCCAAGGGTCGTCTGGAGAAATTGAAGCGGCGGAGGCGGGAGAGAGAGGAAAGGCGTCAAAGGGAGGCGGGGGAGGGAAAAGATAACGAACCTGGTGACAGAAATGACAGCAGTGCTGAGCGTCAACGGGAAGCAGAAAACTTTGCGCGGAGAGAGGAAAAACTGGCACAGTTTGAGCTGCTGGTTAAGAATACCACGGAGAGATTGGAAGGTAGCATGCGGAGCCTTATTGACACGGAGGTACAAGCGGATAAAATGCTTGACCTTCTTTCAACCATACTGGCACAGAATTCTGCGGAAGGACCGACAAGACCTCATCCTAGAGCTCGACGGGCAAGACGCAACCGAGACGAAGAAGACAGTGATGCGGATGATGATGAGCAGGACGAAGAAGCCGAGCCACCTGTTGAAGTGGAAGTTATACCGGCGTCTCGCACGATTGCGGATGGACTAGCCGAGAAGAAAAGGGAATGGGAATCACTCTCCCTTGCGCAAAGGTACTGAAAAATTCGATACTTTTACAAATATGCCTTATATGTGTTAACATGCTGCTAGATACGGGACCAACAACAGCTACACGCAATTCTATCGTGTTCTTCACGAGTCAAAGTACTCTGCAATGGATGTTCCCCCATTGCCTCATCCATCTACCTGGTTTAAATCTTTGGATGCGTCACGAGAATCTAACAGTCAAAATAAAAGGCGCAAGAAGAAGCGATCCCAACTTGCTCAAACCGAAGAGGGTGCTATGGAGGAGGGTGGTGTCGACGATGAGGGCCTGCGGCCTTCACCGTCGGGTGATGAAACCAATAACGAGAGTGAAGAAGAAGATGACAATAACGAACATGATGAAGATGACGAAGAAGATGGAGAAGATGGAGAAGAGGAAGAGGAAGAAGAACCCACCCGAGAGGACACGCAGGATTCTTCTTCAGATGATGAAGTTATGATCAATTCTGAGAAGTTCTCAATAACTTGTCCACTTACTCTACAACCTTTCAATGAGCCGGTTAGCAGCACCAAATGCCCGCACAGCTTCGAGCGATCTGCTATCGAGAGCATGTTAAACCGAAGTCGTCAGTACACCTTTGTTCCCTTACCCAATGACAGTTCTCGTGGGCGAAATATGCGATGCGTCAAGTGTCCTGTCTGCAATGTTTTGATTACAATGCATGATCTAAAGAGAGATCCTGTATTGATAAGACGGGTGAAGAAGGCCATACGCATGGCTGCAGCGGAGGCGGAAGAAAACAACGATGAAGATGGTGGTGAAGGCGAAGATCTTGAAATGGATGAAGACGACAGTATCTTGATGAGGAGGAGCAAAGCAGCGAACGGGGGAAGACGGGTTGTTGTCAAGAGCGAGAGGACAAGATCTCCATCCCGTATCCCCGATACACAGATGGAGTAGTGAAAGCTTTAAAAGTATGATCTTAATTAGTTGGATATGGTTATAAATGAAAACGAAACTGACTAGCAATTGGAAAGACATTAACGACGTAAGTGATGTTATACCCGGACCCGGGGTACTAAAATCCATGAATAACGAACGCAGACTCATTGTGAAAGTAAGAGAAGCAAATACAACCGAGATCAGCAATCCTCCTCTTTCGTTATTCTTTAGACCATAAGAATGTCATGAGCTCCCCCTGACTCCGTGGTTCAAAGTAAGTATATAATTGGTCTTCGAAGTCAGGCTAATGCAGGTTGGTGTGCAAGCTTCATTTCTCTCATCCGTTCTTCATTACTTCTCCTCCTGCTTCTTCTTCCCATCCTCCCCAGGAACGGAAGTTCCCACAAATTCATTCCTTGTAACAATGTTGCTAGTATCCGTATATAAACGCTGATTGATGATGTTCCTTAGTGTTGTTGTTGGTGTTGGATCTTCCATGCATGAGCCGGTGGAGAGCCTCATCTTACATAAGGGACGAAGTGGATACTTGTCACTCAACAACAGTTCAAATTCTTTAATCGAACAACATCAAGTGATCAGGTTAAGGTAATCGACGACGATGAGTGTTATCATGCTGATTCAATGTTATTAAGAGGACTATGTCTGTGTCAATAGGAAAGGAGACTTACGCATGTGGAGCAATGCGAACATAATATGTTCCGAAGCCGCGGTAGAATCTCAACCAGCCCTCTTCACGAATGACCTTCGCAGCACAATCGAATACCCCCTTGTATGGCAGGACACCGGTCTTTGGATCCTTGGTTTGCTTCTGAAGTCTGGTCTTCACAAAGTCGAAGGGAAGAGACATGAAACTGGCAAAGAAACCGGCAATGGCAGACGCCGCGAACGTCCTGTTCTGCGCCGAGAGGTTGGTGTGAGTCTGCAGCTGTGACTTGGCCTCCGAGAAGAAAGTGAGCTGGCCAAAGTTAAGGGCCATGGCTCGAACAACAGTTGGGAAGGCTCCTGCCCATAGGGCCGAGATGCCTTCAGTCCGCGAGATACGCACCAACGCATCGACGACGGAGGTATAATTTGCACGAGAAGCAGCAGGCTTAAGCCCATCGGACTGCATGCGGATGAGGGCAAGGTCGGCTGGATTGCCTATCATGGCTGCCAGACCGCCGGCAGAGAGACCTGCTGCCGCACGCTGGACGAAGGTTACCTTCTCTCCTCTGGAGGCGGCCCGGCCGTTCAGTATGCCCATGAAGGTGTCGAAGAAACCCAGACGAGCGGTGGTGTAGACGGCCTGGCGGAGCAAGCCGGCTGAAAGACCCGTGTAAAGATCCAGCACGCGGCCCGAGGCAATGATCTCGCGGGCAACGCCTATGGCACTGGGCTTGGGACCGGTCTTGACACCCTCTCCCGCGAGCTGGAGGCGGACCTTGATCATGTCGATGGGCTGGATACACGCCGTGGCCGTCATCCCGGCTACACCACCGTTGAAGAAAGGGAGAGCAGCCCGGACGAAGGGAGAGTTGCGGAAGGAGGATGTGGAGGAAGACGAGGGCGAGGACATGGCTGCTTTCGTCTCTGTGGCTGCTTTGGCTGCTGCAGAGGTCGCCGTTCCTTTGAGAGGAGAGGCCATGGCTATAGCTGTGCCGAGACTGCTGCTGTAGATGGTGAGAGGGGGGTGGAGATACGTCCTTGGGCGCAATATATATACACGCAGGTGTGTATATATCAGCCGGCAAAAGTGGAGGTTGGTGTTGTTGGGGTAGGTTAGGTAGGTATCTATGTATAGATAGCTAGCTAGGCGAGGCGATACTCCGTCACGGCAGCTTGTGGTTCGTTGCTCATTGGCCGCACAACACGACAGCACAACAGCCAGGGAAGAACACTGCTATCTCCCGTCACTCGCAGGCGTAGCAGACGAAGCTGAGGATGGCTCTACAGCTCGAGGCAAAGACAAAAAAAGGGCCAAACCGCGGAGTCGCTGGCGGCTCTGGAGACGGGAGCAGTCAAGTCACATGATGGCACGTGTCAACCCCGCTCTAAGTAGCTAGTACCTCTGACTAAGCAGGCCCGTCATACTAACGGCGGGTACCTGGTACTTCCGCTTTGGGCACGTCATAGCAGCGCCGGCGAGACATCAAGACGTCAAGACGTCAAGATATCAAGATATCAACAGCAGCGCGCAGCCTGTCCGGAGGCAGCAGTTACGGCATAGCTAACTCGTCGACCGGGCAGACGAGGCTGCTCAACAGTCGAACTGTTGGTGAGCTAGCAGAGATAGCTCCTCGCCAGCTCGGATAATTTGGCCGCGGAGGCACAGCTTACCACGGCATAGCTTGGTCCAACAGGCCAACAGTCCTGCACCTGCCCCGTCTACAAGCTGGGCCCGTGTCGTCCTCGTCGATATCCCGAAGCTCAGCTGGCCCCGGATACTTCTGCTCTCCTTTCCCGCGGCCACGGAAAACCCCTTGGACTCAAGGTCATGTTTTGGGTCAATGGCGGACGTCGAGCGAGCAAGCAGAGGCGACGGGCGACGGATGATGGGATAAGTTACGTAAAAAAACAAAACATGGGTCGGGAGAATTAAATATAAGCTATCTGGTCGATAGGGATGGATGTCCTGTACGGTGCCGCCATGTCTGGATCTCCGTTCTTCACAGCCTGCCCAACGGTGCCCGTCTGGTACATGGGAATGGCCGACGCATCGCGATTGGGAGAGCCCCTGGCTGAGCCCCTGGTTTAGCCCGTCATCCTCCCCATCTCTTTTCCCAGGGGCCGGGAGGGTACCGGCTCTCAACCTAACAGGAGTGGTGTTCGACACTAAACAGTTTGATTTTCCACACTTCGATGGCCTGGTCAGAGGTATGTGCGCTGTGCATACCAGAAGTCTCGGCAAGCTTCCGTTCTGCTTACAGTGATAGTCCTTATGGCTTCCCATGTATCAGGCATTATTAGTTAACATGTTACCTTCTGCGTTGCGGACTGGACCAGGTACCTGAGGAAAAGAAAGCGGGTATTTAATAATGGTTACGCGGAATTGACATCTAAGAATTGTTCAGAATCAACAACTGCTAAGTACTAGTTAGCTATCTAACCTGCCTCTTTACAGTGGGTCAGCGGTTGGTCGGGAAGTTAAGCTGGCTTTCCCTCTGCATTTTCTTCCTTCATCTTCAGCACGATTCTCTTCAATTCGCGACTGATGGTCTATTTTTCGTCATCAAGGCATCGGTTACCTGCGGTGGCTGACATAACCAGCTAGTTAGTTTCTTCCTCCCTCCATGGTCAGCTTGGATCAAAATCCAAATGCAAGTCGTTTCCAGACTCCCTCCATGTCCTGGCAGAGCGTTATGAACGAGTCGTTTTGCAGTTGCTGGCATACCCACGACTCGATCAGATCGGATCGTTCGGCGTTCGGGCGCGAAGCGTAGCTCGACAGATCTTCACGGGTAAATGGAAGGAGGCCTGTGCTCTTGGAGCAGCCGATATCCTTCTCTCCCCCTACTGCACCATCTGTGGTGGTGATTGTGTCTTTTCTCACCCCGTGTTTGCCCCCTCCCTTCTGCGGCGAAATGCTCGGAGATGGAAGGAGGGGCCTTGCAATGTCACGGCCAGATTCACCTTCTTTCTCGCCTTCTTTGCCCCTCGTTAGACTATGGCTGGCTTGTTGTACGCTCGGTCCTGCCATTGACGTATGTGCTGTTCTGGCTACATTTTCTGCAGCTGCTGGGCAAGCATTATGCTGGCCACCTCTTCCCTGGCCAACTCTACCTGTTTTCTTGGGGCTAGGAACCCCTGATGGAGATCTTTCAGCAAGCCTTTTCTTTGCCTTTGCAAATGGCAGGTCTCGCTTCGGTGGCAGAAGCTGGTTAATAGACTCTGAAGTGAGGAATGTTGGCGCTGTTGATGGCCGAGGAGCTGATTCAACCTGTGCTTCTGCTTCTGACTCTGCTTGTGCATTTGTCTGTGGCGGCTTTGGACAATGTGACTGTGCCATGACCGAGCTTGAGCGAGCCATAGGTAGGTTTGGCAGAGTCATTGATGACTCCTAATTTACGCGGTTATTTCACCCTCAACTAGGCTTTACAGAAAGAGGGAGTACTTACCACAGATGATGGCCGCGTCTCTGCGAATGCTGATGAGACCGGTCGAGTACTCAATCCATCCGTATAATAACACGAAGATGTTATTATTGATTCTGGAGTTGGCGGGACATTACGAGGGTCCGTCCCTGCATACCTGGGCCTTAGTGCTGGAGTTGTATATGGTAACATCTGTACCGCTGATGACGGCGGCTCGGTTATCGGGCATTTTGCTTCTTTCAGCACAGCTATGGCTTGGTTATAATCTCCTGCGGAGGCAAATTTCACTTGGAACCGACGTGTCTAGCAAAGTTAGCCCTGTAAAATCGACACCAGAGATAGCTCGTGTAAATACCTGGTTAGCAATGGACGGATATCGTATAGCCAGACATGGAGTCTTCACAACGATAGCCACTGGCGCCTTAGCATCCCCCGCAGATATCGACGCTCCTCTCTTTGCGAGTAATCCCAGATCAATCTCCTCCTATCCGCATGCCATACCCAGTCATATTAGCCATTCCTCCGGCCACACCCACGAGCTTCATTCAGGTGGACATACCAACACCTCCCGCCCTTTCAAAACTTTCAGCAGCTTGCTCTCCCTTGTCCACTTTGAGGTCTCGTCTCTTACACGTACAGCAGAGAAACTGACCGACAGGTCGGAGCCACCAGATAGATGTGTCCACGCTAACGGAGCGGTACGGTCCGCAGACGTAGTAGTATACGAGAACTTGAGGATTGGCAGGTTCAGCGTTCCGTTATGAAGTGCGGTGGAGGGAGGGTTGGAGTAGGACATGCTGTCTTCTCCCTGGCTGTGACAAGCAGAATATGTCTATAGGAGTCAGCAATGGCCTCTACTTTTCCTGTGTTATCTTGTCTTGATGTGTTCAGTAAATTCTCTTATCATCTCAGCCGTTGGTGATGGTGTCTCTGGGCCATTTAGCAGGTGAAGTTCTCTCCCCGCCATCCGTGTCCCAAAGCGGAAGACACTTCAACTTCAACGTCAACCTCACAGATTTCACATAACGATATTGGACAGCTTCAACCAGCAGCCATGAATCGTTACCCGCTACTTGGAATATGTATTTCAGTTCCACATTCTCTTTATATGGATTTGGTATTCAGGAGATCTTCAAGACATCTCTCTTGTGCGCTCTGGTGACTACTACGAGTAGTAGTAGTCCGAATATCAAACAGCATACAGGAAATGGTTCATCAGCTAAAACTGTAGAATGTCTGTCTCCTCGCAATCGCCTCGAGGATATCCTCTCCGCGGACATATGGGCACCAGTGCCGGTCTCATCGGCAACCGAAATGCAGAACGGAGCTATTCTGCTATACCATAGACATTAAGCTGAGCTTTACACGGGATACCCAGAAGAGTAACTCGACATTCATTGACCATCTATCACTCTTCGCCACCGTACATACACGGCAGAGTACTGTCTGAAACAAACGCAAGCACGACGAAGTACAATTTGGTCGATTTCTATGTGTCATGAAGGCAGATAGCGAAATATTCAAGCCAGGTAGATCCCTTGCTCTTGATCTGGATGAACTTCATTAGAATTGCGGGAATACTGAATGAAGTCTAAACCAGGGATTGGGTTGGTGGTATTGGGCTCACAACCCTAAGCAGGGGTGTCTGACTGCATTCCAAGACCATGGATGAGGAATAAGGCAGTCCAGGGGCAGGATCACGATGCATCGTCTGATCATGCATGAAAATCACCTGAGAAAGGCAGACGGCGAACACCGCAATACTGGTTGATTTTCTTTGAAGAGCAAGGAGGGTATAGATAAGCACACTGGGAGAGTTGGATCTAAGTGGAGCTTGCGGCTAGGGTATCTATATTTCTGTTTGTCTCAATTTTTTTTTCTATCTAGGCTTCTCTGTTTCGCTATGAACTTGCGTGTGAGTGAGTGAGTGAGTGTGTGTGTGGGTCAGATCATAAAAACTTCATCTATCTGTAAGAAGTCCCCTTCTATGATGGGCCTTGGTAGGTATGAAATATGAGGTATTTAGATATGTGTTCGAGTCAGGACTGTGTAGAGCATTTCAGAAACATGAAACAGCTTTGCTGTGCCGCAATTCATGTATAACCAACTTTGGTGGGTGGGTATAACGAAGTTTGCATTAGCCGTTCTGAGTGATGAACTCCATCACTTAGGAAATATCATGGAGGCAAGGCAGAATTTAGGCTCATCAAACCATACCTCCATCGAGACTATGACTTGATGCTAACATTTATCATGACCAAGGAGAACGAAAGAAAAAAGATGAAAATGAAAAACACCTCATAGGCCAATGCATAAGCGTTGTAGTTATGCATGATATGATACAGGCCAATCTTTATTCTCCTGCTGCGGCTTCTTGCATCGTGGTGCCTATGCATTCACATGGGAATTTTTTTCCGTACTAGATGAATGCAAGAGTAACGCATGGTCAAGGGAGCATGGCCTTTTTCGAGACAAGTTACATTATTTTGCCATTTCCTGCCCCATAACCATCTGCGATGTTCGAGGGGCTGGAAGGAAACTAGGCAATGTCTACCATGTAAACAGAACATGGCAGCACAAGGGGACCTGAAGCGGTGACGGATATGCTAGTCTAGTAGACTAGACATATTCCGGCAATACTAGATGGAGGGGGGCCAAATCTAGTGATCAATCACACCAGGGAATCAGTCCTATGAATAGCACTAAGTGGACCAGGCCAGTAAGGAGAGCAAGAACTCTAACGTCTGTTGCGTGATAGGTGCTAAGAACGAAGGAGAACGCCATCATATCCGGTATCGGGCTCTGTTCTGTGGCCGAGGAAGATAGAGGCAGTACGGAGTAGTATGGAGCATTGTCGGTGACCATAGCTTGAGACTAGTGCTTCCGGATTAGGATGAGGCTCCACAAGGCTTGTTCTAAACAAAGTGTGGCATTGGAGTGTCATATCCTGCGGCAGAAGAAGCTAACTGATTCGAGGGGTTGGATCAGCCTTACCTGGGGTAGTCATAGGAGGAGAGGTCCACGGAAACGGGGGTAAAAAAAAAATAATAAATAAAAGAAACCAAAATAGATATTCGGCACCGGTGTCTATTAGTTTGGGGATGTGATAAGCCGAAGTTATCTGAAGGATGTGTGGGTAACCAACAAAAACGACGGTCTTGGCTTCGTTGATGTGATGGTTCCCGGCGGTATGGCGATGGGTATATACAGTGTTTTCCATCTAAGCCGCAGTGCTACGGGGCTTGTTGTTGGCTGCCCCGTGGAGGATATTATCTGCATATGTAGTGAAACGCGGTTGGTGTGCAGCTAGGCGAGCTCGTAGGTTACGCAAATGGCATGTTATCCATAGCTAGAGAGGTTCAACAAGGCATACGCCATTATCATCGATGCCCCATAGTAAAGTCATATGGGGACCACAATGGCGCTAGTTGGGCAAGAAAAAAAGTAGCTTTTGATGGAGGGTAGGAACCATTCCTATTCCGTGGCCTTTCTAAGAGGAATGGGATAGCCTTATTGGGTTGCTGATTGGGTCGCTTATAGCGGTCGTCTTCAGTTGTAGGATGGCTTTGTTCCGTTTTTAGTATAGAGCTAGAAGGACAGTGGAATGTTCCATAAGGGGGCTTGGCTGGACCAAGCATCTGTCATGTCATCTCTGCTTGACAAGACGTACGGACGGGCTGATATCTGTCTGAGAAACTAGCTAGTTTAGTTGGATGAAGAAAGTCGAAATGTTGCTTGTTCTTTTTGACCGTGCCAAGTTCTGATCCAAGGTTGAACGAGTTTAGTTAACTTTTGGCCCCGAAGTGGGCGAATTTTTTGGTGCAACCGACGGGATGTTGATATCTTTTGGAGAATTTTGGGCGCTAAGGTGAAAACAACCAACCCATCTCACCCCTCCCCATGCCTCGTCAGCTGGTTTCGATTGATCATCTTGGGGGAGGGGGGGGTGGTGACGGAAGAGGCTTGTGCCTACTCATCAGGGCCGGCCGCCGCTGGCTGTGAGTTGTGCTTTGCTCCGTAATTCCCCAGTGGCGGAAGGTACAGTAATGTCAACATGAAAAGGACGTGCGCCAGCAGGAGAGATGCGCTGAGGTGTTTAAAGAAGACGATGCGTATGTAGATCGCGGAGTGATGTTAATGTTAATTTGGATCTGGGGATCGGACATATGGTAAACTTGTTAAGCCGGGGAGTTCTGGTAATCCCAGCCATTGCTTGCATGCAGTGTGCAACATTCGGAAGCTTAGGAAGACGGCCAGCCTGTCTTCTTTCGGCAGCAGGCGACTTCGTCTGAAAAGAAAAAGTAAAAAAGAAAAAAGAGAGGGAAGAAGAAGAAGAAGAAGAAGAAAATAATGGCAGTTGGACGGACTAGAGAGTTTGAAAGTTTGAAGTATAGAGGTTAGGAGTGCAAGGATTCATACTTCTTCTGTCTTTCTCTAGAGAATGACTAGATGATGCCAAGGAGCATATTCCGAAGAGCCTGGCGATAATCTGCGCAAGGATCAAGACGAAAGACGAACTGTCGATCAGAAAAATACGAGCCTGGGAGAATTCTTCAAAGTGGATAGAGGAAGACTATCCCCCAAGCGTACCGGGAACCTCACAGTTGGATAAAGAGAGAGAGAGAGAGAGGAGAAAGGGGTGGATGAGTTTCCAAGTGGCCGGAGCGAAGGGCAAGGGAATGCCACAGGCATACTCCGTAGAAGCAGAATAAAATGCAATAATGTGGATTGCAAAGTGCCAGGCCAGGGGGGAAAAGAGAAGCGGAGGAAACGGGGCTCAGGCAGGATGAAAGTTTCATGCCCTGTTTCCGGGCCTTCGACATCTTGGAGAGAAAGGCTCGGTGCGAGAGGGGGAAATGCATGGTAGTTTCTGATACTAGCGCAAATCATCTTTACGGCGCCCAGGAACGAACCATGGCCAGCAGAAGAGTGGCTGTCGGTTATTGTTGTGTAGACCCGTAATTGTCGTCACGAGTATGGAGTAAGTAGTTGAACGTCCGCTTTCACTTTCAACCCCTTTAGCGCTGTTCTTGAGGCTGAGCTGGCAGTAGTTATGCAGCTGTTGCCTATAACTATGTATGTGCTTCCAGTGCTACTATGTATAGCATTGCTGTTTGCTGGTTCATTCTCATGGGAGACGGTATCTCGGATCTCTCCTCTCCTAGTAGACAACAAATTTTGATGGCGGTGGATCAGATATCAAAGTCTCCTAAAGCGGCTATCGGCTTGTTATCCCTCCCCACCTCTCTCGTCTCCAGGACCCAAGGGCAGGAGACGATGCAAAGCCTCCAACCTTTTTTAATAGCTCAAGGTTCTCAGCAAGGTTCGCAAGACGCCTCCACTTTTTTTTCCTCTTCGAAAGGGGGCCAGCAAGCGCAAAAAACGAAGCCAGCGAGTATATACGCTATGCCCATCGTAAGAAAGCAATCCCAACATCGGAACCAGGCGGGGAGGAGGGGGGGGAGTGGAAGGAAGATGTATGTATGTACCCTGGTGGGTGGCTTGGGAGGGCCAAAAAACCAAAAAAAAAAAAAAAAAACAAAAAACAAAAAACAAAAAAAATCCCCGATGACGTTCAAGAAGCCTTTTTTTTTTCCTTTACCCCTTCTCCATCCCCTTCCTGAAGCCGAAGCATATATGTAACAAGGTCGATGTTGTTGTTTTATGCTTGCTTTTTGTTTCGTTGGGAGGCCAAAGAAGCTGGCCTAGCTACGGCCAAAAGCGGAAATCCCATGGAAGGCTTCTGGAATCCACAGTGCACAAAGGCCCATGCATTGGTCCAATGAGGACCGGACAGCGCGGACAGGGAGGGAGGGATGCTGGCTCTGGTGCTGGTGCTGGCGCCGATGATGCTGATGATGATGCTGCTGATGATGGTGCTGCTGCTGACGATGATGCTGCTTGAGAGACGCTGGAGCAGGGGGAGGAGGACAGGCCTCTCTGAGTCTCTCGTCTCTTTGCTTCTTCTGCTGCCTCGAGATATCCTTTCTGAGGCCATCCCTGAATCGCCAAGAGATCCAGATTTGCTGTTGATTTCGCCTTGAGGTGGAGAGGTTGCTCTCTTCGTCCTGCTGCTGCTGCTGCTGCTGCTGGCTTCGTCGTCGTCGTCGTCGTCGTCGTCCGTATTTGCTTCTTTCTGCCTTTCTCTGGGTAGACTTCGTAGCAACTAGTAACCCCGTAACTAGTGTATGTAGGTAGACCGGGCGGGATCGTTATGGGATGGATGTCTGTCAGCAGAGCGGCAGGAAGCCTGTCCCATGCTGCGGGATGGGACATTGACCCAGGCTCGGTCCGTGAGACAGCCAGCAACGGAGGCCGCAGACAGACAAGAGAAGGGTAGAATATCTCCCGTATCCATGAATTAATCCTGCCTGGCTTTCGATTTGGGCGAGACAGGCAAGCCGACCACCCAATCCATCCGTAGCATCCAGACCCTCCCGTCCCTCCTGTCCCTCCTGTCCCTCCTGTCCCTCCTGTCCCTCCTGTCCCTCCTGTCCCTCCTGTCCCTCCTGTCCCATCCATCCTGCGTCCGTCTCTCTAGGTTCTGCTTCTGCGTTGGAAATAAAAAAAAAAAAAAAAAAAAGGCCCCATAACTCCCATGGAGCAAACCTAATAGCGGCCCAGGGATCGAGCAGTTCAGTTCTGCACCGCAAGAACCGGCGGAAAACCTAGCAGGACGCTCCAGCTTCTTTGTCCCCCAGACCGCAAAGCCCGTCGCCAGTCCCTGATAAGCTGCTTGTTTCGTCTCTCTCCGCTGGGCGCTGCGTCTGGCGCTGGCTCTGCGCTGTCCGCTGGCTTGTGCCTGAGGTTCGTTCGGCTGTCGACTCGTCGTTGCTTTTTCCTTGCCAGAGCCCAGAGCGACAGGCAGAGAGGAGCGAGAGAGAAAAGAAAATCGACCCAACCGACCGCCGGGTCAGCCAACCTCGATCGCGGGCGAGCAGCAAAGCAAGCAAGCAAGCAAGCAAACCTCCCCAGGCCACCGCCAGCACCGCCAGCCAGCACCGCCAGCATCGAGTGACGCCGCCGGTCGAGACACAAAGAGGCCCCCAGGATATATTAGACGTCCCTCCCGCCCTCCGCTGCCTCCCCCCCAGTCGAGTTCGATGTGTCTGTCTACCTCGCCGGCCGCCTCTCTTCGTCTGCACCGTCGGTCAGAGTCCCGGCCTCCTCTATAGCCCTCGCTGCCTCTGCCTCGCTGCCTCTCTCTGTCTTCTGATTCTGCCTCTCTTGTATCTGTCTTCCTCCTCGCTGTCCCTCGCCTCTGCTCTTCCTATCTGTCTGTCGTGTGAGAGATACTATGGGCCTCTACTGCCGGATTTCGTGATCACTGTCTCTCTGTCTCTCTCTCTCTGTCTGTCTGTGGGATCCTCCATCTCCGCCAGCTCTTCCTCCTGTCTCTCCTCCCTCTCCCTCGTCCCCCTATTACTCTACTGCCGCTGTCTCCTGCAAGCCATCTGCTTCTTCTCCTCTGCTACTGTTACTACTCTCTTCCTCCCGCACTCCAGAGCAGCAGTTCAATTCGGTGGCTATGTTGATTGACGGCGAGAAATGGGCGTGCGATGCTTGTATCCGGGGCCATCGCGTTAGCACCTGCAACCACTCGGGTAAGCCAGCCAGCAGACATCTACTTCTCCTTCTTCTTCTTCTTGCCTGCTAATATGCTCTGCCTACGCCTGTAGATCGCCCCCTGAGCCATATCAACAAGAAAGGGCGGCCAGTGTCGCAATGTCCTCACTGTCGTGGCCTACGCAAAGCCCGGACAAGCCACGCAAAGTGCGAGTGCGGCGAGAAACCACACAGCAAGGCGGATTGTCCGCTGAACGGAACCGCTGCTGACGGCCAGAGTGAGCATGCCCTTCCTTGACCTCTTCATTTCACCGCTTGTGAGGCACCCGGGTCTGATACTGGTTTTTTTTTATTATTATTATTTAGAAACGGCTGGTGGCCGAAAGCACTGCTGCTGTGGACATGGCGGCCGCTGCACCTGTGCGTCCAAGCGAGACTCGAACCTCGAAACCGTGCCCGAGACCGGTCCCGTCGCAGCAGCAAGACGGTCTACTGTCTCTGGCGTCAAGAGACCGCATATTACCACCTCCAAGAAGCAAAAGGAAGCCAGCAAACGGGTCCACCCATATCCGCTGCCTCGCTCGCGAACCATCCATGGGACCGCTGACCTGGCTCATCTGTCGATGGACCACCTGAATGAGGGATACGGCACCCAGGGCGTCTCCGCGTACCCAGACCTGGTCACCAGTGCCCCTCGTCCGGTACGGAGAGTCAAGTCTGAGAACGGCTCCCCGGTCACAGAGGTGTCTGACATGAAGGCACAGCTCTCCCTCGACATCCCCTATCAGCACTTCCCAGACCAGATGGGCCTGTCAATGCCCATCTTGGACTACCCACAGCAGTCTCCCGGGCTATACTACCCTTCAGATATCGATTTTGGCTTTGAGGCGGCGATCTCAAACGGGCCGTCCATAGACTGGTCCACCTTTGATCTGCCGTACGGCTCTGACGCATACACCGCAACCTACAGCCAGCCAGCCTCCTATGCCAGCTACGACTACAACACCACCACCTTCGGCCACCCTGGCCTGGCCCGCTCCTCATCCGGAGACACCTCTGATGCCGACGAGCTGCTGCCCATCGTCGGCACCGGCTCCGAGGCCGGCATGTATCACCTGGGCAGCACGCCGCCCTCCCAGCTCGACCTGCCCGCCCAGTTCGCCATGTCTCAGACCTACAAGCCTGCTGCCATTGAGCCGGTCCTCCACGCAGCAAACGACGGCGTCGACGTCAACAACCATCACCAGCAGCAGACACAGGCGCAGGCGCAGGCATATCCTGCCAACGGGAGCCACAGCAGTTTTGTCGATGCCAGCAACGCCCCCATGATCATCCCACCCGCCGCCTACACCTCTGCCGGGGCAAACGAGCCGCTCTGGGTTTCGGCTTCCTACCCTACCATGATGTCCCCGGTCTCCATCTCCGTCCCCGAGCAACAACACCAACAACAACAGCAGCAGCAGCAACAACAACAACAACCACAGGCTCAAATGTGGACTCGGTAAACACCCCGCCCACTGGCTCGCACTTCCACTCCGTCTAACGCATCATGCTAAAACACACATGAACGCCGATATGACTTCCCGAAGCGATAGAACGATATTTTAATGAACATAGATGTTTTTCAAGCTGGTTCCTCAAACCGTCCATCTGGTGCCTCAAACAAACCAACCTAGCCTCCCCCCCACCTTTGCCCACCCCACCAAGCAACCTTCCCACCAGTGATGCATATGTCCTTTTTTCTTTTCTTATCTGCCACTTTTTTTTATTATATATAGACCCAGGGGGAGGTGCTCTGTAGCGTTGTAGAGTATTTAGACCTTTAGAGCAATCGTAAATACGTCTAGTCATCTTAGTCATCTACACTTAGTCATTTCTTACTCATCTTCTAGTCATCTCTTAGTCATCCCTTAATCATCATATCAGCTGACCTCCCAAAGAGGCAACCCTCGCTCCGTTTTTCTTCCGCCAAAATAAAAGAAAAAAAAATCCGCTTCGTCTTTATTTTTTTCCCTGGACGAGCCAGCGAGCCTCGCATAAAACAATACCCGTCCTCCGCGTCGAAAGCAAAAGCTATCTAGATAATGCGCTCCGTCTGACGGGCAGGACAGAAGGAAAGCCGGCAGCTTCGCGTTCAGCGCCGTTGACAAAAGTTGGTTACTTGCTCCCCCCTTGTTGCCTCTGCTTTTTGGTGTCGCCGCGTCGGGGCGAGGGCGGACGTCGTTGTCGTGCAATTGGCCCTGCTCGCAGGATGGGCCCTTTGCTGGAGCTGTCCCAGCGACGCGCCGGGAGGCCCTGCAGGATGGACGTCCATGGCTCCCGTTGGCGCTGCCTGGTCTACGATTCTCAAGGGGGCCGTCAGAGGGCGATGAGCTGACCGTGTTTGACAGGCTACAAGAGAAAGAAACATTCCCGCCACGCATCGAGTAACAGCTTTCGTGCGCGCGCGCCGCCAACCGCCATACCCACACGGCACACATAAATACAACAGCGAAAACAACAAAGAGGCTAGAGACTGAAGACTGTCTTGGATAGCAGGGTACAGGTCCTGACTGGCCCACCATGAATTCTCGAGAGCACTCGGAGATCCCGCCAGCTCCGTCGTACCCTTCCCCCAACGCTGCTCAGATAGCGCAGGGCACCGTGTCTTACTATGCCAACCAGCGCCATCTGACCGCAGATGAGCTTCATTTGTCTGCAGAGCTGTCCCGCGAGGTGGCCGGGGCCAGCGTGGATGGCGGGAACGCTGCGTCCGTAGCTGCCGCTGCCACTGCTGCTGCGGCGGCGGCCAACGGGCTGCCCCATAGCCAGGGGATGGTGCTAGGCTCATCTGGGCCCAACGCTGACGGAACAGTGGGTGTTGACCAGCAGCAGGTTCGCCAGCAGCAACGACAGCAACAGCAGCAGGATCACCAGGTGCAGCAGCCTTCCCAGGGCCAGCAGCATATGCTTCAGTTTTCATCTACCCAGCAGTCTGGAGTCGACCCCAACCATGACTTGAGCTATGGGGACCAGAGCGCTCGCCGGAAACGCTCAAAGGTCTCTCGCGCATGTGATGAGTGTCGTAGGAAGAAAGTACGTCATTTTAGCCTATGCACACACCTGTTTCGTGTGTATCTAATGTTCTTTCTACTCACTGATATTTTTTAGGTCCGATGTGATGCCACCTCTGAAGCTGGTGTGGAGACATGTTCAAACTGTCGCCGTACTGGCGCAACATGCGAGTTCAGCCGCGTTCCAATGAAGCGAGGTCCAAGCAAAGGGTAAGTTTGTCCATATTCCTTGACTGGACTGTTCTGCCGAACTAACCTTCTCGCCCATAAGATACATCAAGGAGCTGGCAGACCGTATCAACAGCCTGGAGACTCAAATGCAGCCCCCAATGCAACCAGGGGATATGCACTATCAGCAAATGAACGAAGATGGCACATCTGGCCGGGGCTATCAGGACTTCTCTCCGTCTATCGATAATCAGGGACTCACTCGGAAGAGAACCCTCTCCATGTCTGAAGGACTTCCTAACGCCTTCATGCAGCCCCCTTTCATCCAAGGTGCTCGGCCTACATCAGTAGGCGGATGGCCCGTGCAAGGACCAACAAAGGATGCAGCCCATGCAGCCGATCTAGCTGCCCTAGACGAATATGGTGCAGTACAAAATGGAAGTACACGGGTAATGCAGCCGTTCTGGGCCCAAGAACTACCTGAATCTGCACAGCAACCCGCCATTAACCTAGAAAAGCTGGAATCCCTTCCTGCACCGATGGAAGTTGATGAGGAAGTCCTCAATGCGTATGTACACGTCGTCTTCCTACCAAAAAAAAAAAAAAAAAAATAACAAGTGCAATCAATCACTAACACTTTTGGTACTAGTTACTATCAGCACATTCACCCTATTTTCCCAGTTCTACCGAACTCCCGGGATCTACTTTCCCAGTACCTTAAATCAGCCAGCCGCCAGATTCAAAAAACTTTCTTGCACTCATTACTCGCTGTGACAGGGGCCGACCTGTCGAGAGCGGAAAAGTCGCTGCAGGAAACTCCAACCTTTCAAAGGGCACAGGATCATTTAACTGAAAGTCTTCGTGAAGACCCTCGCTCCCGGGCCCAGGCGGTTAATTTTGTCCTCCTCTTCACATTTACCCTGTTGATCATCGATGCCGATTCCAGGGGCCCGGAAAATCTCCATGGTCAGAACGGGATTAGTAAGACGGTTCTCGTTGACGCTGCATTCCCTATCGCGCATCATCTCGCGCGGTCGTATGATCAGCTTGATAGCTGTAACATAGATGACAAGGACATTGATTCTGACGGCAATCTTGCAAGAAGGAATTGGACTGTCCTGATGATCTTGTCTCGCTGGCATAGCCTAAGCGTGGCTGGTCGGGATGTTTTTGGTGTTTTTGAAGCTGCTATGCCCGAAGATCGTGGCATCCTCAGCTTTGCTTCTCTACAGCTTGCCCGTATGTTCCCACAACCACCCTCCAGTCTCACATCGAGAATTAAAAAAAAAAAAAAAAAAAAAAAAAAAAAAAAAAAAAAAAAAAAACGCTAACGGCACATTGTAGGCTATTCGACATCAGTCTCCGAAATCATCGAAGTGCTCTTCGACAACACTGTTCACCCTTCGTTTGGACGGATGAACAGTCACTCTCTCCGCCGCCTCTACTACGGCCAACTCAAACGTCTCAAAGACCTTGAGTCCTGGCATGAACCCACTAGTGATGACGAAATGAGCACAACGTACACCGAATCCGTTTGCCCACTAATATTCTGGACCCTCACCCTCCTCTTGAAAAGGCAACTCTATACATCCGTCCCTGCTGAGGTGCTATACCCTGCGCAAGTCATCCTCGACCTTCTCATGCAGCACTCCGACTCAGATAAGTTCATCACATCGCCATTCCATCATCACGCCCTGGCTCTTGCCATTATGACCTTATTGGAATCCACAGACCTCCCCGAATTGGCAGCAGATGCATGGATATCCCTAGACAAAGCACTCCAGATCATCAGTCAACGCGAGAAGCATGCCACAGCAGCTGAAGAGTTTGGCAATATATTCTACACTCGATCATGGGGAGAATGCTTCCGTGCAATGATTGAAGTCAAGGTCGCTGCTTTCCGGTCCACGCAGCAGGGCTCTGGTGCCGTGGGAACCAGCGAACAGCGCTCCCTTGAGCATCTGGCAGATTTGGCTGTTGGGGCTGGTGGTGCTGCAGCTGCAGCAGCTGCCGCCGCTGCCGCTGCTGCTGGCACAAATACAGAGAACCAGACTGCTCGTTCAGGAACTGCTGGTGCAGAGGATGCTGCTAGCGGTAGCCAGACAAACACTAATGCTGATACTGCCACAGGCCAAAAGGACAAGGCAGATATACGTGTCTATGTTGACTTTACACAGTTAACTAAGAGAGGATATCTCAATGTGTTTGCTGGGCTATAGCTAATCTAACTTGGCTATCTGCCTATAAGCTATATTCCTGTTTACTCTCTATAATGTATAAAAGGGGCAACTCAGCTCTGTTGCCTGTTTGTTTCTCCACACACCTGCGTTTTCTACCTATTTTTGCTAATTTTTGTTAATGCCTCGTCTGGATGGGAGTCAGGCTAAGTGAAGTTGGACTGCAGCATTCCAACTAAGGTGTAAAATGGGGTTTTGGTATATTGTTATTCTCTATCACTTCTGTACCTTTTACCTGCGGTTTTTTGTATCTCCAACTCTTCTTATGCTCTTGCTTAGTCCCAAATGTGTAAATTATAGGCTAGTTCATTGATTTATCCATGCTAATCATTCATTCAATCATTCATTATTAAAAATAAAACATGTAGATTAGTATTACTATCCAACGCCTTGGAACAAGGGGCCAGCATCAAGGAATGCCATCCAAAATTGGTCTTCTCCCAAAGTAAGTCAACAAGGTGTGTCAAAAGGTCAGCCTGGCGTGTTCGAAGCAGCCGGCCGTTTAACCCATCGGCCGTGCCCGTCATGCTGCCAGGAGAGATTAAGTACCTGATGCATGGTTCTGAAAACATAGCTCCTTTGCGGCGGTAGGTTATAATCCAGAGCTCTGAACTCGACTAGGCGGCCATGTACACCTAGATACCGCACCGAATGAGGGACAAGCGAGTATCCCGTCTCCAACTCCATCCAGGCATTCTCCGGATCCATGGTCGAGTTCTTCTGCTCCTTTTCAAAGATATCACTCCACTCCGGCGGCGATAGCTGCAGGGCCAGAGAGCGCAGGTTGGTCATGCTACGGAACAGTTTGAGCACCAGGTTAGTATGGCTGTAGAAGGGGAAGACGGCAATGTAGCGAAACGAGGTCAGCCGCGAGATGGCAGAGGCAGGATACGGGAGGTTGACCGCTTGCAAAGGGTCGACGGAGCCCCAGTGGTTGATGACGGACGGAGGACGCAGGCGGAAGTAATCTTCCACGCTGTACGCCTGCAGAGACGAGCCCTCGTTAAACAGCAGCTGCGTCCACGGCTTCGCGGTGAGAAAGCTATCATCGTCGTCGCCGCTGCCGCCGCGGTTTTCTCCCTCGGCTGCTGCTGGTATGATCATCTGGGTATCAGGCTGCTGGTCTCGCTGCTGCTGGCGGAACTGGATGGTCTGCAGCGGCATGTCAAAGGCCCATTTGTCGCCTTGGAGAGCGCACTGCGCCATGTCCGCGATCATGAAGGGCGGCGCAACAACGGTGACGGTCGTCGGGTTCAGGGCCGCAAACAGCGTCTTCCACCACAGCTGCTTCTCGCTGCCGGGGAAGATGCTGCGGACAGAGACGGTGACGCTCTCGACGTGCTCGGCCAGGCCATGGCGGCTGATGAAGGCCAGGAACCGGTCCTGGTCGCGCAGCTCGTACCGGCAGAAGCTGAACAGGTGCTCGCGGGAGAACTCTCGAAACTGACGGCACACGCGCGAGACGCTCTTGAGGTCGGTCGTTCTGGAAGACGTTACGGCGTGGCTGGGGAGGTCTCGCAGTGCGCGCTCGTCTGCGGTCGGCGGCGGGCCTGCGCTGATGAAGGAGAGGATGAGATAGAGGATCTCGACGGGGAGGCTGTGGATGTCGGCCATCGCTTGCTGAGATGCAGCGATCCCAGGAGCCAGCCGGTCAGCCTGGCGGCCTTGCTCGGTTTATATATACGCCCGTACGGAGTGAGTATACGCTGGCTGCTAACTAGTTAGCCATCCCATCAGAGAAACTGAGACAGCAGCAGGCAGAACGGTTTCGAGCTTGAGCTGTCCTCCACCCGCCGTGCATCTGACTGTCCCCCCAGCCTCAGGGCAAGGGCCAAAAATAGGATGTCTTGTTTTAAACACACGGGAAGAATGCATTTCATCATATCGTATGCTTATATCTAGTGTTAAAACTACCAGCCTCGCCCTTGGCTGGCGTGAAGTGAGGCTGAGGTGGAGAATATCAAAGCTACGCTGCGGCAACGAGGAGATACCAACAGAAAAGAAGCAAGAAGAAAAGAGTAACATCCCTATTATTCGGTGCTGATGGATGATCTTGTCTTATTCTTTGCTTTCCATTCATCTACCATTCCCCGGTAGTCTCGAGGCCGGTACACGGTGAAGTGCTCCCGGAAGAACCCCTTTTTGCGATGGCGTTGCAGTCCCAGGTCTCGCAGCATCAGATCAATATAGGGGATGGATTCGAGGACAAAGTCCGGGTTACGCATGCGCATACCCTCTCGATACCGCCAGATGCTGAACTGCGAGTAGAGGGCTACCTCCCAGTCTGTCTTGTCTTCCTCTGCCGTCGGCTTGGGCTCAGCCGGCCGGGGGACCAGCGGACACGCTTCAAGCTGGCCTGAGAGATATGCAGTGGCCCAGAGGGCCTGCACCTGAGACGTGATGGCTGTGTCTATATTGGCTGCCATCCCAAGGAAGACAATTGATCGGTCTTTTAGTTTGGGAGGCGCCATGAATCGAATCAGCCGGTACGGATGAGAAGAGAGAGTCTCAGCCTCCGCAGAAAAGTGCTTGAAACGCTCATTCACTTTGGCAGAGGCCTTGAGCTGCGGGAACTGTCTCAGAATATGTTTATCTGCAGCCTCCAGGAGTGACTTGTCCAGCGGCTCGGGAGCCCAGGGCACTCCAAGCAGCTCGTCGATCCCCTCAGGAAGAAACGTTATCGGTGATCGAGCTTCCCAGCCAGTTCCACATATCACAGCATCAGTCTTAAGAGAGGTACCGTTGGAAAGATGCGCCGTCCGGCTGGACAGAGAATCGATATCGGCAATGTGTACCTTGATCTGGCCGCTCCTCACTAAGTCAAAGAAGTCACTCGGGTAGTTTAGTATGCTCAGTGACGTGGACACCCAGTATGGATCAAGCCAGGGCGTCAATTTCTTGACCTCTGGGTGCTTGTTATACTTATTGGCGGTTACCACATCGTTCTTTACCAAGGCCCAGAAGCCAGTGACGAGCTGTTTACCCAGCCAAGTCTCATGCAGAAATTTCGTTGGCCCCGTTGTAGCCCAGATACAAGGAGACATCCATGTCGTGCATCTGGTCAGAAGCAGGTATTCAAGCAATATCTTGAGCGGTGTGATCCTGGGCCGGGACATCCACGCAGGGCCGCGGCCATTTTCACGAATAACAAAGTGCACAGACGCTCCAGCTGCTGCACAGGTATAGGCCATGTCCCAGGCAGCTTTCCCCCCGCCATACACGACCACCGTCTTATCCGGGTGCAACAGTTCATTCTCGTACTTTGGCATATTTTGAGAATGAAATATCGGTGCATCAAATGTTTCCTGGCCTTTGAACTTGGGGAGATGCGGCCGTGATGTGAGTCCGGTTGCCAGTATCAATTTCCGAGTGAGGATAGTCGAAGTGCTTCCAACCGCAGCCTCCATTCCATCACTGTTTGCATCAACAGTGAGAAGCCATGATGATAGGTTATCTCTATGCTCGGCAGAGATGAGTCTCGTTCGAAGACGTATTCTATCTGTCAGACCGAACTTCTTTGCATATGCATTCAAATATGCATGCACAGTCTGTCCGGGTATAGGTTTACCCTTTTCTGCACCAAACGTCTCCGCATCCATGGCAAAGTCTGGGAACTCAAGTGAGCCAAAGACATTGTTTGTGCATAGAGTACTGTAGAGACGATGCTTTGCCCATACTCCTCCTATGGACGATTCTGCTTCCAGAAGAATAACTTTGGCGGAAGGATAAACTTCCAGATATGTCTTTACAGCACTTAGACCGTATGGTCCTAACCGCCAGTGGTCAGTATTTGGAACTGACTTGGTCAGCGTCGTGTCAAACTGATAGCCGACTTACCTGCACCAACAACGACCAAATCAACTTCTTCCATTATGATAAACCTGGACGACCTACTTCACAACTTGATGCGAGATTTCTGCCACGGATACATGCGAGGATGAAATTGTTATATGCACACTCCTGAGCGACTGCGCGGGAAGGAGCGCTTGGTGTACTTTAATAGTACACTCAGACGTTGATAACATCTCATTTATGTAACATTCACCACATCTGCTGTGTAGGTTTCTTTTTTTTTTTTTTTTTTTTTTTTTTTTTTTTTTTTTTTTTTTTTTTTTTTTATTCCCTCTTTCTCAGTACATCATGGTCTCCGGATCCCTGCGCGAATATGTGCCATCCTAGTCGAACTACATAGTCACCAGCCCAATGACGCAGTGGGGGGTCAATTCATTGGTAACCAGGCGCCAGAGGAGCCAGGTTTGCCTAATAGAAAGGGTTTTCTCTGCCATGGCTACCCTGCTCTCGTATAGAGAGTGTGGTCGAGGTGCATTTTTCATATCCACTGCCCAAAATTGGGAACCGAAGTTGATCAAGAAACCACTCGGATCCGTCACCAGTACTAACAGACCTGCAAGACAAGATAGTTGATCTCAAGAGAAGTTGTCTTATGTGGTATTACATTGCATATTCTAGCCGAGCGAGGGTTTGTTTGTCTGAGAACGGGGAGCTTCTTAGCCTTCCGAATGACGAGGTAGCTCAGCATTGGGACCATCGACGCAACAGCGCACCGTGCTTCCAGTTACATGAGGGGCTGGAAGAGAGCATCAGAGCTACGGCAGTGAAAAAACTCTCAAGTCCAGCTTGTGCTGGATGGGGTATCATGTTGTGCTATCTTTGCCGGCCCAGGTCTACTAATCTCCTCCTAGCACAGGACCAATTTAGGTGTTTGCGGTGATCCCAACCTAGTGGAACAGGTAAGTTGGCTCTTGAACAAAGTGCATTCTGAAGTCCCGACTGGGTTCCAGCTCTCAATGACAACCAGTCAACTTCTCAATATCGACGCACTTTGTTGTTTCTCGCTGCACCAAAAGCGAAAAAAAGAAACTGCTGAGAGCGCCGTTTGGGGAACCCCAAGTTGATGCACCACGTGACTCTTTCCTGGCCTGAGATCGAGATCGATGAAGGCAAACGACGAAAGAAAAGACAGCAAGGCAGCAGCAGGTCGAATCTGCGATTTGGCTGGAGGAGATAAGGGGAGACAATGCTTTGTTATCTTGTTATACGATTGGGAATATCCAACAAGAGTCAATCGAGGGCTAAAGATAGCGACCATTAATATCAAGATGATCTTCGTCGTGCTTCTCGTCGCATCCGGATAAATACCCTCAGTACGACCACACTGTCGTTGGCATCAGGCTCGAGAGAGGGACTGTGGACATGTCAAGATCATGTGCCCGAGCAGTTAAATGCCAACAACGCATGCGGAGTCTTGGATGGCATCCAGTGAAATCATGGAGTCGAGCAAAGATGGACAAAGCATGCGCATATTGCGCTGTACTCCCTCCTAGGGACGTGCACATCTCTGGGCCAGAAGGGCTTCCTGGGATGATACCTGCATGTCATGATAGGCTGACTGACCCCGAGCCTCATCAACGGTACTCTGCGGCACAATCTTCTTTGTTAATATGCCAGGATCCCATTCGCTGGGGATGACAAAAGCAAAAAGAGAAAAAGGCACAAATCCCAACGAGACGGCCCCTGAGACAGTCATAACGTAAGAAAAGGTTTATAAGATTATTTTGAGGCTCACCAAGCCCTGAACATGACCCCTCACTCTGGAACTGGCGTTCCAGGACAACCGATTGTTGCAACGGCCATCATGAGTTTCATTGTGGCTGGCAAGGTAGCCATCAAACACGGTTGCTAATAATCAAAGAGGGCACTTCCTGCTGCCATGAACGATACTACCGGGCAACCCGGTGAAGCTGAGCGAAGGGACCCAGTTTCCTCAAGGCGCACCGCCAAAGCTGCATGCAATGGCAAGGCTCTCTCGGTTCAACACGCCACAGTAGTGCATGGCGCCATAGAACTATTAACTTGACTCCTTAGTGATGGCCAAGCGGAGAACTCTTCAAGGGCTGTATGGAGTAGAGTACTCACGTTCGATGCTGAAGCCTCGCCTGCATACCTACCAATTTTCTCACCAACCTGACGTGGCTTCATACATGAAGCATGGCCCTAAATTGTCCTGTTTCAACGAAATTCCAGCATGCGTGGACGTCCAGAAACCTGACTGCTTCCATGTAATGTTGGCCTACCCCCTGTCTATAAGAACCCTCTCATCTAAACATGCTGCCGAGTATCTAGCTACCCATGCCTAAGTACAGAGGCTACGGAGTTTGAAGAAAGCGCCTCTTTTCAGCGTAGCGAGGGAGATATCCCCATAAACTAGGTGTCACCGCTGCATCTAAAGCATTATTCAAATAGTCACACCCATAGCCACCCACTGTATTGCGGTCTACTTAAAAATACTGATCCGTACCTCCGTACTATAGCTCCATCGATGTAAGCAGTTAAGCCCATCGAGCTCCCCTCCCGAATTCCGTCGCCCGCCTGAAACGCCAGCAAGGGTGTCTCCGGGCGATCATGCAAGGGGCCATCTCGGCTCACTGGCTTCCCCTTTGGCGACCCTTCCGCTCGTTTTCGTTCTCATCACCCTCCGCTCATCTCGCTCTGCTAGCTACATATATAACAAATGGCCGTCACCACCATCCATCGTCGTCCTCGTCGTCGCCGCCGCCGCCGCCTTCTTGCTGCTATTAGTCATCCTCTTAGTCATCCGGAAGGTAGTTACCTCTTTGGGACTAGTGTGTCACCTGCCTGCCACACGTGACTCATCCCTAAACCTTAAAACCCTCGAAAAGAAAAAAAAAAAAAAAAAGGTAAAAAAAAAAGAAAATAAAAAAAAAACGACATAAAACAACCTCAGGGGTAAAAAAAAAAAGGAGAATCGCAAGCACCGGAACGAACGACGCGAGCCTGAAGAACGCAGCATAAAGGCAGACCGACGAAGCCGAGATCGAGGGCTGACTATGTGAAGCGGTTGCGCCAGCTCTACGCCAGCCCAATTGATCAGAAATTTCTTTTTCTCTCCTCTCGACGCCTACGGAGAGCCGAACGCCGTGACAGGTCAGATAGTTCCTTGAACCAGCGAGCTGCCTGTGGGGTGAGAGTGCTCTGCCCGGAGGAAGCACGCAGAACAGCTCAAACGAAACGCAGAACGTCGCCAGCCGCACCTGCGAGAAGACGCCCGAGGAGCTCTTCCGCGCCCGGAAAAGCAGCAGACCCAGCGCCTGTGGTCCGCGCCTATCTTGCCGATTCCGCCCCTTGGCCCTCCAGCGAGAACTGCTCCCTGCGCGCGCGGCAATTGACTCCTGACTCTTCCTTGACCAACCAAACCCTCCTCCCTATTCCTCCCTCCGCCCCCCGTTTCAAATTGTTTCTTCAGATCCGCCTTTTTCCTTCGCCGTGTCTCTCGAAGGGACCGCCGTCCTCTCAGCCCAGAAAGCAATAAGAAGAACCTGTTAACGTCCCTCTGTTGATCAACGCATTCGTGTACCGGAAACCTGCATACCTGTGTCCGCCAGATAAAACGTCCCTGCGCTTAAACGAACACTCACGCGCTCAACACATTCACCATGGGCGGCCAAGTCTCGAAGCTCATGGGCAAGATCTTTGGATCGAAGGAGATGAGGCTGCTCATGCTTGGGTTGGATGCTGCCGGGAAGACAAGTACGAGATTGCCCCTCCGCATATCACGCTCCAGCTCTCTCTCTTTCTCTCTCTTTCTCTCTCTTTCTCTCTCTTTTGCCTGCCTGCCTGCTTACTGACCACGCTGACCGTCAACAGCCATTCTTTATAAGCTCAAGCTAAACCAGGACGTCACCACCATCCCGACCGTCGGCTTCAACGTCGAGACCGTGACATACAAGAATGTCAAATTCAACGTGTGGGATGTTGGTGGTCAGGACAAAATCAGACCATTGTGGAGACATTATTTCTCAGGTACGACACACCTGGCATTCATCTCGACCATAGACAGCTGCTGACAGAAGAACCCCGTGCAGGCACACAAGGACTGATTTTTGTTATTGACTCAAATGACCGTGCCCGTATCGATGAAGCCCGTCAGGAACTACACAGAATCATCCTTGACCGCGAAATGAAGGAGGCCCTCCTATTAGTCTTTGCCAATAAACAAGATATCCCCGGAGGTACGGACCACTCTCCTGCCCACTCTCTCTCCCTCGTCCCCCCTCTGCGTTTTTCTTCTATCTACAGCCAGCTAACGGCATACTTCAAATTATAGCTATGAGCCCACAAGAAGTCACTGAAAAACTGCAACTCTCTCAACTCAAGGACAGGATATGGTACGTCGTACCAACCTGTGCCACCACAGGAGAAGGTTTATTCGAAGGACTGGTAAGATATTCACTCTCAACTCACTAGCTTCATATGAGAAACAACATAACTAATCGCCCGTTTATAGGACCACCTAAAACTTCTAAATAAATAAGTAACGAGACCTAATGATGCCCCAGAGCGAGAGGATCAACGTTTAGCCACCTAATCACCTTCGTTCTCCGACTATTTTTCTTATTCTTCTTCACCCATACTATTTTGTCATACACGTACTTTGTACCAACAGTACTTAATAATATACCTTTTTGTGTTGTCTGTCTAATAATGGAATAATACGTCTTTTCTACAAGACCTTCACTCACTTCTCATTACTCAGTTCCTTTACCTACTCGAGCTGTTTGTACCTGTGTTATCGTCGGGCAGCTGTCCGAATGAACATCAGGATAGAAAAAAAGAAAGAAAAAAAGCATAATAATCTGTTCGCTATCGAAGCAAATATAGATGGTACATACGCAGCTGCCGATAATCAGTGGCCAACGAGCTATTATCACAGGTGATGAGGATAGGATGTGTATAGAGAAATGAAATTCTAAGTAGGTTCTCCGAACACCAATCAACTTCTATACACGCCGGTATCTACGGGTTCTGGGTCCCATCCATAGATCGAGGAAGTGAGCCAACGGCTACGGATGAGCCGGCCGCGGAAGCATTCGGTTCACCCGCAGTTTCACTTGGTCGATCCCACGTCCGAATATGCCCTAAATTTGAGATATGTCAGGATGACGAAGCAACACCAAAACGTAAAAAAAAAAAGGGTTCTGCGATCCACGGATCATCTCACACCTACCTTCGAGTGAGGAGGTCATGATAGAATCTTGCAAAAATCCCAACCAAGATATTGGATCCTCCCCTACAGCTTTAGACATGATTGGTGGTAGTTGTGCTGTTCTCGACCACAACTCAACAGGGTGAATTATAGTTTGATCAAACTCCTCCCCAGGTCGAAGAGAATCAGAACGCATGTTTCGTGTAGTAAGGCTGTCTGCATGCGGCCTATTGCTAGGAGACTGGGGGTTACTTCTATGGCGTGCTGTAACCTGTGGCGTTATCGTCAGTGTCCTGCATTCTTAATTGCTAGAGCTAAAGCCACGATGAATTCTCACCGCCTTGGGACGATGTAGCATAGCTACGCTAAAGTCCCAGAGAAGAAGTTGACAATCGTCGCCAACACTACCAAATCTATAAGTTCGGTCGTCACATCGCCATGGGTCAAATTCAACGCATGACACCCAAGAATTGTGTCCTTGACAGCGGGCAACGATTTTGCGTTCCGGGAAGGACCAGATTGATACCAGATCATCTTGGCCGCCTGTCAATATATATTTTCCATCTGGTGACCAGCACACGCAGATCAAGCCTCCATAGTAGCTTGTATATAAGTCAAGTAGCCTGAATAAGCCCGTTAGCAACTGCATATGTAAGAAGTGTAAAAGCAATAGCGTACTTTTCTTTCAAATAGTCAATAATCCTTAGCGTTCCATCTTCCAAAACCACAGCCAAATGGCGGTGATCTGGAGAAAATGCAAAATTGTTAATCTTTTGGTTGGATAATTTCCAAACCGCAACCGGGTTGGTGCGCTGATTCTTGGAGTTGACCGATTTCAAAATTTTGAACAAAGATGGATGGGTATTGCTTTGGCTTCCTTCGCCAGAAGACAGTGTAGTATTATCCGACTCCTCGGGTGTGAACGGTGAATCATCCTTCTCCTTGTCATATACTACCAAGCACCCGTCCGAGTGTGCAGCTAAAAATAGATTCTCAGACCCCGGAATCCATTTAATGTGGTTTACCGGTGAATTCCTGATAGCACCGTTTTTGTTGATCCGGGAGTACTTTTGTGAGAAGGGCTCGTACCATATAATATCTCCTGCCGAAGATCCCATGGCTAGATCCAGATGATTCATACTTTTAGTTATCTGGTTCACATCATGACTAAGAATATGCGCCTTGGTGAAAAGGATCTTTGTAAGGAATTCCTGCTTGTTGGGAACGGAATAGTCTAGCCATTGAAAGGATCGGTTGAGGTTGGCGAACACGAAGGGGCTATCATGGGTCCTTTCGGCGACCTTCTTTAGCATTGCATCTTGGAGTATGACCCGAGAAATGAACGATGACCCGCTCTTTTGAATACTGTTCTTTGGCTTCCTTCTCTTTGATCCAGTTGTGTCTTTGCCTCCACTGTTAGCGAGGGCAAGGCTGCCCTCACCGAACGGTGGAGCCTGAGAAGATGCGTTTACATGGGGTTCACTTGATGAGCGACCAGCACTATCACTCTCATTAACGCTTCGTAGGTCTGATGTTATGCTTGTTCGAGTGTTGGTTTTGTAGAGTTGAGCACCACTGGGTTTCAGAATAGCAAGAGAAAGCTTCACACCAACAGTTGGTGGAGTAATTCCGGTAGCTAAAGGGTTTGGATTTATTAACGGTGGTTCCGAAGGGTGCGGCGGCGGCGTAGCAAGATGAACGTCCTCCCTGAGCTCATATGTCCCTGGACGCATTTTAATTAGCATGCCTGTAGCAATACCAGTCCTGGCTGCAGTACGTGATGTAGTATACCTTCACCAACTTGCAAAGGACAGCCTCCTTCTGGATGTTTTAAAACGTTGATAACTTCGGTTATGGGGACTGGTAGACCGTTCGATGTGCCGGCAGCGTATGCGACTGGATTTACATAACGAGGCGCCGGAGGAGGCAGGAAGCTATGGGCGGTCAGCTCGACTGTTCGACAACCATTTGAATGAATCTAGTGCGCTGCTATATTAGAAGGATTAATTCAGCATTATGTCAACCAAACCGTGAGATAAGGTATAATGGATGTGAACAGCCGGGAGGAGCAGAAGTGACTGGAGAATGGGTCTTAGACTTACAACATGGTATTTTCAAGACACACTCAAGATATTTATGTAAATCCTTCTACAGAATTAATGTAGGATATGTGCCTCCAAATCCGTATCTGTAGATAGCAACTCTGGAGCTGTTGTATGCGGAGTATGAGAAGTGGTGGGGAAGAGCTCCAGGCCGGGGAAGTAAGAAGTGGGAGAGAGGAGATGCCGTTACCTGTAATCCATCGAGTAATCTATATAGTTCATCCAGATGTAAAACCTGGTCTTGACCCTCTCGGGTATATAGATGCACCTAAGCAGAGATGCAGGTTGCGCACGAAATGATGGTCCGGATGTCGAACTTCCCGTCGTTTCTTTTTGCTCGCCTTCGACGCCGATCGAGAACTCTTAAAGAAACCCCAAATGCGGAGTGCAGTCACGTGGATTAAGGATAATTACTGATATATTAGTCACTTTATGATTAGCTAATTGTTATATAAGCTAGTTATAGTTTGGATTTTGTTGATATAAATTGCAAAGAGCGGGAGAAATACTTCATTCAATCCCCTTTTGCGCTCCCACCTGTTTCGTCCGAATGGTGTCTCTCTTCCCGTACGTGACGCCGGTGTTCTCGAACATACACGTCAAAGTTGAGCTCTCCCACAAGTCGCTTGACATCGCTAATTGGAAACACGTTAGCGAGAGCGGCATTAAATTAAGGATAACTGAACGGGAGAGCAAACCTCATTAATGTCTTTAAATTCGAGCTTACCATGGAGCTCAGGACTTCAATCGCAATTATAGCGGCAAATGAGGGGTTCTCAACATTCTTGAATTTCAACAAATCTTCGTTTATGTGCCGCAGCCTCCGTGCTAGCGGGAAAGGGTGTGGAGGAGCTAGGTATGGTGGCAGACAGAGGCAGTTTGTAACGGCAGCCGATAGATGGTATAACACAGAGGTAATCACTCCCGAACGGAATTCCGGTGAGTTAGCTGCCTCAGCCAGATGTTGGATCCACCTTTCTCCCTCAGCGATTTGATGCCTCGATGCTGCGCTCCTGCTGGGTCTCCTTCTCGCACCGGGCGAATTGTCATCAACCACATCTGTGGCCGGGCTGTATCCTGACATACGCTCAAGGTTCCTAGTTGCAAGTGCCATCAAGTCCATACTGGTAAGGATAGCCTGAATTGCAGAAATGATATTATCATAAGTTTCCTTCGGGAATCGACCTCCTATTGGAGGTTCATACCGCGTGAAATCGCTGAACATTGTTAAGCTCTTCAATAGAGCCATTTCTTCTGCTAACAGCTTAGTCCTAGCACGGTCGAGGAGTTGGCCAGGTGACTGGCTGTCATTTATATCCCCTTGCTCTTGATTTATCCATACCTCTATTGAGGTGTGCATGCAACTATAGAAGTTTGCCAGGACAAACAGACTCCTGCCTAGCGTTTTTCTTACTCGGGATCCAGCTGATGTTGGGCTTGGAAACACTACCCAGAAGTAAGAAATCGCACAGGCTACAATGACAGCAACGCATCGGTACGGTCCGAATAGGTATACTGGGTAATAGGGGAGGCCAGATGATTCTACCTTCTCTATCCCCAGTTTCTGAGACTATATCATGTCAGGCAAAAGAATCTCTTGAATCGTGCATTGAAGACAGGGTAGTGGGAATACCAGCAATTCAAAGGCAATTATGAGGTTGAAAGTAATCACCCCAATAATAGTAGGGGGGATAAATCTTGGGTTTCTGATATATGGATAATACTTTTATTGGTTAGTAGGGGCTACCATAATCCTCGATGGGTAGCAGGAAGATACCAACCTGAAAGCAATTGGCCACATATGTCAACACGATGACGCCTGCTGTTTTCCCATAAACAACATACCAGACAGCGAGTGCGAGGATGGTGGATAATATTGTCGCTATAAATCGACCCATCAAGCCAAAAAGGGAATTCCCACTGGTCGGGTTCATCGCAATGAGAATGACGATGACAACCCAGATAGCGCGCACCCGGAAGAAGAAGGCTTGGGTTTGCGGCAGGTATGCAAGTATCACAGCACAGAATGCTGCGATTGCAACTCTGACACCAAACGAACTTTGTTCAGAACTCAGGAAATGGGAAATGGCCCTGATTCCACAGCCGATTCTTTGCCAGGTGTTTGTAGGAGGCATATGCTCCGGATCAGGGTATCGAGACTTTAAAGGATCTTGGTCTTTGGAGTAACGATTGTCCGTTTCCTGTCTCCTTCTGCTTGCGGTATCTCCTTCTTTATTACCATCATCTTTCTCTTCTGGGTCACTGGCGAAGAACCATTGCTTTACGTATTCCCGTTTTGGAAATTGGAGCCGTTTTGATTTTATTGTCCCGTCGGCAACCTTCCTTTCTGCAAAATATACCAGATCTAGCACTGCTTGAAGCAGGATATCTTGCAGATGGCCAATGAATAGGAGAACGAAAAATTCCTTTTGAATAGTACGGGGTTCCTGTGCAATACTGCCTCGTTCATGGAAAGGGGCAAAGGCAGTGAGCGTTGCCCACTTTTCTGGTAGATGCTTCCGCAGGGCAAAATAATTGTTTAATTTCTGTTCGAATTCAGTAACAAAATGCGGATTCCCGGGTACAGACTTTTCTGAAGGTGCTTCCTCATCTCGAGATCCAGAGGTTGTTCCACGACTTTTGGGCGGCTTTATTATCTTTAAAGTTATAAAAGCATGTTGGAACCCAGCTTCCACAAGCCCAGAGGCTGTTTCTAATCTTTCGCAAAGCGGTTGTACAAAGTGCTCGGTGATCTCAGGGATTTCATATTGCGACTCACTCGGCATCAAAGCTGGGCGTCCTCCAACCACTGGCCTATACCCATAATCGGTAACCCGGACCTCATCTAGATCTGCAGCCTCCACTGTCTTGGTTAGCTTTCGAAATACCTCCGGAAGCATAGCAATTCCAGAAAGAGGAAGGAGGATGGAACGCAGCAGAGAAAAGAGGGTCTCGAGATCTTCCGCAGTCAGTCTACCCCAGGCAATCTCCTGTTTTGCAAAATATAATTCTGCACGGGCAGAAGAGTGGATGGACGAGAGATTTCGGATTGCATTTTTCAACTGAGAAGCCTTTGATTCGCTCTCCGTAGGTTTCTTTTGGTTATTATCCTTTTTACTCCTTTTCCCGTGCAACATATGAACTGAATTGGTCCTTCGTCGAGCTATAGTGGCGCGTCGAGTGAGCTGCCATGGCCCTTCTTCCTCACTGCATTTCACAAATGCTATCTGGCTATCCAGTATTTCCTTCACTATTGTAGGATATCCTCTGATTGAATGAAAGAAGGTACTGCGACTTGTCGTAGGTAAAATGAATATGGAGACACCTGTCGATATGGCAAAACCGATCAAAAATGCGAGCAGCAAGCTCTTTATTCCCTGGAGCCCAGAGGAGAGCGAGGTTATCACGCCTGCCCTAGTCATAGTGATTGCAATGAACATAGAAAAGGTTGAAGCCGGTGCTTGAAGTTCTATTGGCCTGAATGCACGAATGGAGTTCACAAGCCTGTTTTCAAGATATAGTTAACATCATTGGAAGAATTCTAATCAAGAATAGATGTTGCATTACCAAATAGCGAATAAAAACCAGATAGCTGCTACCGCACAGGCACTTGCATTATATCCGCCAGCTGGTTTCCCCTGAGGCGTTGTATGCTCTCTGGCTTTGACCACACAATATATTCCTAAACAACATATTGAGGCGGAAACACAGAGTGCACTGAGGGAGAATATCATGATTTTAGTGAATCTTGCCCGGGGTAGGAGGCATTGGGCTACCACTGCAATGATTGCAGACAAAAACCCGTAGTTCTGTGAGACTCCTGTCACTAAGTCTGACTGATACCTATTTCTTCAATGTCAACTCTATGCTCTAGCTGCTGGACAAACAAATGGAAAAGCGTACATTGCTATCACGATTGTTGGAGGTAAACCACCCTTCAACATCTGAAGTATGGTTCGTCTATCAATCTCCAAAGCTTTCCATACTGCCGTTGGAGTCCAGTGACTCCAGGATCTTCTCCCCATACTTTTTGCCGTCGTGCATTGACCATCGGGTAGTTAAGTAATCTAGTCTTTTAAGCAATGTTCAAGATAGTCTCATCCTTGATACCGTGGTAGATCTTGCTGCCAGCCCATATATTGCAACCAGTACAGAGGGTGGTTGTCTGGGGTTTCTGCGTATTCAATGAAGCAGCACTCTATGCGGCTTGTGTTATGAAGACAAGATAAGGTAAGTGCAGTTAACTTTATTTTTAGGTAACGACCGGGAAGATGACGTCATTTCGAGAGAGCTAGATAGCTACCTGGATATATAGACAGGGAGTCCCTTACATACAAAGTGAGAAGCCATTTGAAAACATCTAGTGCAGCTATATACCAAGGTAAGGGAGCTCGAGTAATAGAAGTCTATGATAGCCGAGTAGTCCTATGGGCGGCTATTATTCTTTTCAAGGGTTTGGCGGTGGTGGCCTGGAGCTGGCCGTGGAGAGAAAAGCTTGATTGAGTATGGCTACGAAAATCAGGGAAGTCAAGCTAATCCGAGATTGCCAATAGTGGGAGGAGAATGCTCACTGGTGGCTTGAATACTGAAGAACCCCTGGGTCGTCACTAGAGGGCTCGAGGCCAGGGCCGATAACTACTTGGTTATCCACTTTATTATCCTACGAGCTTATTCCCGCCACCGCTAGGATCACCCGTTCAGATCCGAAACCACCCGTCAGACGCAGCGGGACTCAGAAGTCTGGAGCAAAGGAAGTGTGATTACTAAGGTTACAAGCGCAAAGGCTGGTGGTATCATTCAAGGATATAATGTGACATCGACCGACGCCAGACTGCGAGAAAGGCCGCACATTCACACAAAATACAGGCTGGTGGATATTTGTCGGGCTAGGGGAGAAATTGGAATGACTAGCTCGCTGGCTATTGATAAGGACTCGAGGGAGAGATGACTCGTGATTTTCTTTTTTTTAAAAAAAAAAAAAAAAAAAAAAGAACAAAGATAGGGGGCCAGTTCCGTTAAGGAGAAAAGCAGTGTACATGGGAGAACCATTCAACATGCGTTAATACGTTTATAACGAGGAGATAAGGACGGGGCAGATAAAAAGCCAAATGAAAAGCAAGAAAGACGGTCCCGCTATGCCACCAGTAGAATCAAAATAAAGGAAGGAAAAGATGAGTAGAATATCTAATGTGTGTAATGGAAGGGCTCCCATCTCTGGGTCCCGGAGTGGGCGAGCGCAAAGTATAAAAAGAGTAAGGAACGAGGGGGGTATGGACAGAGGCATATTGAAGGTCTAGGGAGATGAGGTACGAGGGAAAAATATAGTGTGTAACCAAGCTATGTATATATAACAGGTTACCAACTACCACATACCATCGTGGTCATCCGCTCGTCCATCTGAGTAATCATATCCCTGACTCGAAGAATGTTGAGACTGCTCATATCCATCGTCAAGGTCATAATCGTACATTTGCGAATCTCCATTTTCTGCATATGAGTCTTGGTCATGGCCCTAGAAGGGAGCGTTAGCTTTGTGTTATGTAAGTAATGAGAAGATGGTCAGGCAAGGGAAGCAGGAGTGTCTACATCTTGGTAATGAGAGGGATCGTCTGTCGCCTTTTGTTGACCATGATTTTGACTCTGCTGCGTATCCTTCTTCTTCGCCTTGAGTTTGGCGGGTGAGGTTGGTAGTGCCATGTGAGGGTGCATCTGCTGCACTTTGGCGAGGTATGAGTACATGAAGTTGCTCAGAAGAACCTGTGAATATAGAGCTCTCCGTGGATTGGCCAATTTGAGATGGGCCATGCGATATATGGCACGTTCCTCCATGATCGAAAAGCGGGTCCAGTTGTAGTCGACATCAGCCTTAAGGTTATAATATTTGATTTCTGGCGAGGGTGAACGAACGCGAGAGCGCGAATGTTTTCGGGAGTGGGAATCATGTGAGCTGGATTTTTTCTTGCTACCACCAAAGATAGATGAGAATAGAGACGTCTCCTTTTCCTTTTTGGGAGGAGGAGAGGAGGATTTGCGTAGTTGTTCCTTACGAGCAGGGCGAAGTTCTTCGTCAACGTCAGGGCGGTCGAGGACAAGGCTTTCTCTTTCTTTAGACTTGGCAGGAGCTTGTCCGTCGATGGATGTTTGAAGGAGGTCAAGACGGGCGTTGTCATGGGGTTTATCCGTCTTGCCGTATGACTTCGATGTCTTGCGTTTTGCTTCCTCTTCTTTCTTCTTTTCCTTCTCTCTCTCTTTTTCCTCGGATGCTGCACCTCGTCGCCAATGCCAGCCTGATTTTTTCACCTCCGGGTCCTTCTTAATCTTGCCCTTTTTATCCTTTTCTTTTTCGTCGGATTTTCGACGTTCTTGGACAACACCCTGAGCATGGGAGGATGCTGGAGTAACAATCTTGGGCAACGGATCGCTGATGGGAGGAGCTTCTTTGGTTGGTATGATAAGCCCGGCTCTCTTGGACGTCCGACCTGTGGCAGGCTCTGGGGGTAGTGGTGCTTGAGGTGGGAGCGAGGGAGGGGGGTGATGTGATGAATTCCGCTCCGGTATGTATAGCTGGTTTTGTTGTTGGTTTTGTTGTTGGTTGCTGGTGTTGATGGTGGTGGTTGAGGTGGTGGTTGAGGTGGTGGTTGTGTTGCTGTTATTACCGCCTGTTGAGCGTAGGGAGTCTGTCCGGGGTGGTTCAATGGGCTGTGTTTGCAATTGTGGTTGTGAGAGTGAGTGATGATGCGGTGAAGCAGGAGGCTGTTCGCTGGGTTGGGATGCCCATTGCTGCGTACGGGATGTTGCACTGGCACGGGCGGGTGTATGGTTGTGCTCAGGGGCCGTCTCTGTGGCAGAGGGAGGCAAAGCTGAGGACAGTGATCCTGGTTTTGACCGGCCTGGCCGTGAGTAGTTGGTTGCGTTACTATCGTACCCTGCCGGATCTGTGGATACCCTGGTCAGGCCCGGCAAGGGAGGCTCCTTGGTAGGTGTAGACGATCGTTTGATGCTTGAACCATCAGCTGTATCCTCCGACTGGCTTACATCCGACTGTCTTGCAGCTCGTCTTGAATGAGGTACCCGTTCTCCTGCCTTCAGGCTACCCTTTCTGTAGGTTGTTCTCCTGGAACGGCGCAAACTAGAGCCCGGTGGCGCAGGAGGCAGGATCGGCACGTCCTCATCAGCAAAAGCCCCAAACTGGTTTCGTGGTTCTTCGGACAGGGCTGCAAGATTCGGCTTTTTCGACACTCTAGAATCCTCCCTTCCAATGCTGGAACTGTCCACCTGGCGTGAGAGCAGTGATTTCTTGCGCGACAAGCTGCTTACTGAACCCTGGCGTTGCAGCAGCGCTGCTCCCTCGGTGGGCGAGAGTTCTCCAGACCTCCGCTGAATCTGATCCGCTTTGCTATCTAGAAAAGACTTGAACTCCTTGGGAGCGAGGCCCGGGTGAAGATGTGCGGGCACCCAGAAGAGACGGGATGCGTCGTCCTCGTCCGCAGAGGGAGAAGGGGCTATTGAAGACACGAGGCCGCCAAACGAAGGTAGATCCGGGTCAAGGGAGCCTACGTCCATAGACATACGGCGAAGAGCAGCGAGGTTACTGAGCTCCTGGGCGACGGTTGCAGGGTCAGACTGGCAGTCTATATCCGTCAGAGGGAAAGAGACCGGCCCATCAGAAGAAGAAGAATGGCTGCGGCCGGGGGAGAGTTGGCCGGTACTATCGTTGGGGGAGAGCGTATGACGTGACGTGCTTCCGTGGCCGTTGACACCGTTTATCGAGCTGGTGCGGATGGGCAGATGAGTTCGATCCTTGGTGGCCCCCGAGCTGGAGCCTGACGCCGAAGCTGAGCCGGGAGACGAGGACGCCGCCATGGTCCGGTTTATGGGGTTTGTCGAGAGGTTTTCCTCCTGTGATAGATAGCTCAGACGCTTCGAGTCTCTCGGGCTCGCACTTCCATTTCCATGGCTGCTGCCACTCCCACTTCCAGCCGAGCTGCCGTCGTAGGCGTCATTGTACATGTATCCAATCGCCTCCGTAACATGGCGGTTGTCGTCACTGATGGAGAGATGGGCCAGTCGCCTGGACGAAGCGCCTCGGTTGTCTGGCTGGCGGTAACTGTCTGTAGAGGCCTGCAAACGGGTCAGAACTGCGTATATCCGCCATAAACTAGAATGACACCCCCCCCTCCACCCCTCAATAGAGATATCTAGAATCCCGCAGAAAAGAGGCAACCACGGAGGAAAGAGAATAGAGGCCGTTTACAGGGAGAAGAAGGGGGGAACGAGAAAGGCGAGGGGAGGGGGGGAGTATGGCAATGATTGCGCGGGACAGCCCTTACCTGCATGCTAACGGGGGAAGAAGCACGGCACTCCAGCAGCGGCAGCAGAGAAAAGGAACAGGGCGAGCGAGGCCGACTGGGGGATATTCCGCCGGGGCACTGAGCTGCTGTTGTACAGTGTCATCGAAGCATGTAGAGCAGGGCGAGCTCGCGGGCAGCAGAGAGGGAGCAGCAACCAGCGGCGCAAGAGTCTGCCTGTCCTGTCTGCCCAGCAGTCGACCCGAGGACGGGCAGCGAGGTCGAGGCCAGAAGGGGAGCGAACGGCCTGCTATATCAGCGCTGTTAACGGCGAGGGACAGGGGGGGGCGGAGGGTCTGCTGTCAGGCCGTGGCCGCGGTTCGTATCCAGCAGCAGAGGGATAGTCAAGCAGATAGATAGTATGGAGGAGACCTGGGCCTGGGTTGATTGATAGAAGATCGATAGGAGGTTTTAGCTAGTCAGCCAGTTAGTTAAACGAAGGGCAGGGCGAGAAGGCGATCTCGGGCTTGCAGCAGCGCGGCGGCAGAGGCGGAGGGGGGGGCAGACGAGAGGCCAGCGCCAGCACCAGCACCAGCAGCAGCACGAGCAGCAGCAGCAGCTAACTTGCTAGCTAGCAGTAGTCCGTCTCTCTCAGTTCGTCCGTCTGTCGATGTCGTTTCTGCCCTATTTTCTTTTCTTTTTCACTGGCTGGTGGTGAGTATTTTTTTTTTTCGGCGGCGGGTTGACTGTGCGCTGTGGGAGTTGCTTCGGGCGCAAGGAAGATCCCAGCGCGCAGCCACGCAGGGGACAAGGCCGGGAGCAAAGGAGAATCCTCACGGCAACGGAGGGCGAGGTGGTCCAGTAGATAGATACGTGAGTGAGCGAGGAGACAGGCTTGGAGTGACGGCGAGGCCGCGGGCTCTGGGGATATGTCGAGTATGTAGGAGAGACGCCCGGGGATCCTGCAAGGTCATCTTCCTCCTATCTATGTATCCACGAGACCAGGCATGCAGCCACAGGGGTCTTTTATTTTACTAAGTACATACTGGATATCCGCTTTATTTATAGCAGGGCATCTACAGGTCTACGGACGTCTCCAGGAGCTCGACAGGCGTCTGCTCGCATTCACCCATTCACTCTGGTGGTCGGCGTGACTCTGCTGTCACCGTGATCCTGCGCAGACGGGGCGGTCATTGGGCGCCACTGGCAGTCTGATATTCACCTCCTGCGTTATGGATTTTATGGATACCGAGGGACGACCACGGCGACGGAGAAGAAGAAGAAGAAGAAGAAGAAGATGATGATGATGATGATGATGATGATGATGAGATGTTCACGACGGTTTACCGAAAGCTGATACAGATCGGCTGGGGGAGGGTGTTTATTCCGGCCAGCCCTGTTTCCCGCTAGACATGCCCCTTAATCTTGCCGCCCAGTGAAGCGCGGGCTGGCTCCTCCAACGATATAGAAAGGTACGGAGTAAATGTTTCAAGTTACCGGGATAAAGGATAGGGTGTGTGTGTGTGCGTGTATATATATATGTATACGATAGACAGGTAGGTACATGGAGGGTAACTTGGGCTAGACAGAGAGAGGAGGAAAACGCCTGCAAAGGAAATGAAAAAAGGCAAGAAAGGACGGGAGGGCCATGCATTCATCGCTGCAGGGATGGGAAAAGGCAGCTCGTGGGAGAGATGACGGTCTATTGCTGTCGACAAGAGAAAGAAAAATGGAGAAAAGAAGGATGAAGCAGAACGGGCGGCAGTGGTTGAGTGATGGCTACTTTCCGGCTTCAACATAGTTGCTCGGGAAAATACCGACTCTGTTTCCAATCCTGCCCGTCCACCAATCGTCCTGCTTCTCTGTCCGCTTCACAATGGTGATAATCTCCCCTTTCTTGAACCCTAGATCGCCTTCCTGGTCGGCATCAAAGGTGAAGAGCGCTAGGGCCTGATCCTTGCCCAACTGCGGTTTCTGTCCAAAGACAGGTTTCGGGGCCGTCGGACGGGCGGGGCGGCCATCAAACGCTCCTCCTACTCCCCGCTGGCTCTGGCCGAAGCTATCAAACGTCTCGTTCGGGTTGGCACGCCCCGCTACAGTGTTCGCTCGATTCAGTCCGGTATACTGTCGGTCATGGACGTTGTCCTGCCATGTATTGTGTCGCTGCGGCCGGTCACTGTACTGGTAGTCGCTGGTCGAAGCAGCTCGGTTTCTGCCCTCATATCCCATGCCCGGAACATGTCTGTCGTCATAGACAGGGACGTCGTTGTACATTCTCTCTGCGTATGTAGTACCATGCCGTCCCGAGAATGCCCTCGACCTGAGAACTGCCATTAGCGGCTCTGCACCGGGCGGCGGGGGTACAGCACCGCTCAGCAACTGGCTGGCCGATATATTCGAGTTGTACATTCTCGCATTCGCGTCCTTCCGCTCAATCAGCACGCTTCCTTCCAGACTCACACCTGCAAACAGGCCCTTGGTCTTGGAATATGAGAATACGCCTGCCACTCCCTTCATGCTCGCCGCACCAGCAGCTTCGGCGTTCCTGCCCACGGGTCCAGCTGCAACAGAGACATTTCCTCCCAGTGTTATCGAGCCAGCCTGGCTGAACGTACGGACCGCCGCCGAGTCGTTGAGTATGAACACAAAATCGGTAAACTCGAAGCCGAGCTGGCCGCCAAAGCCGGCTCCAGCGGTTGTGATGGCGGAGGGGGCAGACCACGACCCGTCTCCAAGCCGAGCAACAACGACACCGGATCCAAATCGAGCCGAGCCAACGAAGCCCGCCTTCACCACAGTAAGAATTGCCAGACCCTGCGGACGTTAGACTTTGACACTTGCAAACCAAACAAAGTTATGGGGGAGGGGGGCAAACACCGACCTTTGCATGGCCGAGAATCTCTGGTGGAATGACCTTCTCAGGTCCAAACGACTCCGACGGGTCAATAAACGAGACTAGGATCTTGCTGGCTTTCCGACATTCACCTATAGTTGGCACGTATACGTTAGCAACACTGGTGGCACTAATTACTCTGCAGACATAGCCAGAGAACAATGTAGATTCGCAACATACTTGCCAGTGAAGAAGGCAGCGGATTATTGAATCCTAACGGCATCTTCCAAAGACTGTGAACCACAGCTTGCCTCCTTTCTTTCAACGCTCAGCTTGTTCTGTGCCGTGAAGGTGCGAGTGTATATATATAAGGTATGTATCCCCCTGCGTTCAACCCCCCCAAAGAACTCTCAAGTCCCTCTGATAGACGGTGAGTTATCGAACTAGATATGGACAAACAAAAGGCGCAGGTCGGTGGCGTGAAGTCGTCACTCCTCGTGCCCATCTGCGGGCGTCAGATAGATAAAAATAAAACCCTGGAGTACGAGGTTGATCCGTGGAACAGCCAGATGCCAGCCATGGCTTTTGCCTGGGCTTCGGGCGGTGCGAGGTCTTTCCTGACCTTCACCCCGGACGGCCGGTGAGACTGGGCGAAACATTCATCCGCGCCGCTCGATGATCACCTACCAGCCTGGATCGCAGTCCACCAGCCTTCAGGAACCGACCAGCGGCAGCCTGTAGACAATTCTCACTCCAGTATATCTTCATCTCCGTCTTTCTTCCTTCCAGTCTCTTTTCCTCGAAGTTTTGCACTGAAGGGCGAAAAAGCGTCGACTGAAAGTTGTTGTTTCTTTTTCCTTTTTGGGCGAGATTAAGATGATTATGTCATCCATTATCTGATCGTGATTATATAAGCAGAAGTTAACGACATGAAAAGCAGAAGCAAAGACGATGGCAACGACGACGAAGCGCAAGAGAAGAGAACGAAGTCGACGGCAAGATACAACCGGACGGCCGATGGCGATGATGAGGCCCTGAGGTGAACAAGAAGCTTGCGTGAAATGGGAACCGGTAAGCTCGCGGCCAGGTGGCTACGTCAATACTATGAACAGTCTCTAATTATATATTATCTACAACAGTGCGAATCTGTGTCTGCGGCGACGAAGGGACGGGCAAGTCGAGCTTGATAACGTCGCTTGTCAAGGGAGTCTTCGTCACCAACAAGATCCAGGCCGTCCTGCCGCAAGTGACCATCCCGCCAACCATTGGGACGCCCGACAATGTGACTACGACGACCATTGTTGACACGTCTGCCCTGCCGCAAGATCGTAATATCCTTGCGAAGGAGCTTCGCAAGTCCAACGTCATCCTCCTCGTTTACTCGGACCATTACAGCTACGAGAGGGTGGCCCTATTCTGGCTCCCGTACTTCCGTTCCCTGGGCATCAACGTCCCGGTAGTATTGTGCGCCAACAAGTCGGACCTACTGCACGAGCATGGCGAGTCCCAGTCTATCGAGGAGGAGATGCTCCCGATCATGACGGAGTTCAAGGAGATTGACTCATGTATTCGAAGTAGTGCCAGGACGCACCGGAATGTCAATGAGTCATTTTTCCTCTGCCAAAAGGCTGTGACGTATCCGATATCGCCTCTGTACGATTCAAAGGAGTCGGTACTCAAACCAGCAGCTGTCCATGTGCTTCGTAGGATATTTTATTTATGTGACAAGGACCACGATGGATACTTGAATGACAGTGAAATCGAAAGCTTTCAAAAGAGATGTTTTGGCAAACATCTGAGCGAAGAAGACTTGGTCAACATCAAAGATACCATTCGAAGAGCATTGCCTGACTCCGTCACCCCGTCCGGCATAGACGCCAAGGGGTTTCTTCACTTAAACAAGCTATATGTTGAAAAGGGCCGACATGAGACCGTGTGGATCATACTTCGAGCATTTCAGTACACGGACAATCTCTCTCTTCAGGAGGAATTTTTGCATCCGCGTTTCGAGGTGCCTCCCTTCTCCTCCGCCGAGCTCTCGCCTGCCGGATATCGCTTTCTCGTTGATCTCTTCTTGCTCTGTGACAAGGACAATGACGGAGGTTTGAATGAGGAGGAGCTTGCCTCCATATTTGCCCCAACACCGGGACTACCTCCCTCGTGGACAGAGGATTCATTCCCATCATCCACGGTTCGCAACGAAGCAGGCCACGTCACTCTACAGGGCTGGCTTGCGCAATGGAGTATGACCACGTTTACCTCTCCCAAGACAACATTGGAATACCTTGCATATCTAGGTTTTGAGTCCTTTGACCGCAACAACCCTACTACCACTGCTGCGCTTCAAATCACCAAACCCCGAAAACGTCGCAGGCGACCAGGGCGAGTGGGCCGGAATGTCGTTCTTTGTCACGTCGTGGGCGCACCAGGCTCCGGTAAATCCGCTCTTCTAGACGCCTTCTTATCCCGGGGATTCTACCCATCCTACCGCCCAACCATCCAGCCTCGCACTGCCGTAAATACTGTAGAGCTTCCAGGTGGTAAACAGTGCTACATGATCCTCGATGAGCTAGGCGAACTGGAACCTGCTATTCTTGATAACGAGGCAAAGCTACTCGACCAGTGTGATGTTATTGCCTATACATACGACTCATCAGACCCAGATTCGTTTGCCTACATACCCAAGTTACGAGCCAAATACCCACACCTCGAGGAACTACCAAGCGTCTTTATTGCCCTCAAAGCTGACTTGGATCGCACCACTCAACGAGCCGAGCTGCAACCAGATGAATATACCAGTAAGTTGAACATGTCTGGGCCGCCGTTACACGTCAGCGTAACCTGGAGTTCAATACAGGAGTTGTTCGTGCATATCGCTGAAGCAGCGATGGAGCCGAGCACCGCTTTCCCCCGTGTCGAAGAAGACGCAGAAGGCAAGTGGATGGCATGGGGAATCGCCATCGGAGCCGTTGTTTGTGCCAGCGCCGCAGCTGTTGTCATTTGGAGGCGGGTCAGTTGGGGAGGGAAATATTAGTATCCATGGTAAACGTCATTTTTAACGTCACTGTACGATGAGCGATAAATTTAGATACCCATGTTATTCATATATGAAATTAATTATTTACTTCATAATATCTATCTCTCGAATCTACAGGTAATCGTTTCTTACCTGTTTTCAGGGGCTCCGTAGTTAATTAGTTGGCTTAGGACAATTGATAATCACATGATAGGTATAGTTAACCCCGGTCTCCGAATCGCAACTGAAGCATCGGTCAACGACGACGAATGACGCCCAAGCCGCAACTTTTTTACCTGGTTTCTGATCTGAATAATACGTTCAATACTAGTCAATAAATATATTGAAACCTCTAGTTTTCACCTTACTAGTACAGCGTTTGCCACATCTTTCCAGGAGACAAACACACAACCCATCACCAGTCTCCAATATTCCCGGCTTATTCCATCAGCCTAGAGACCGATCAAAATGAGCGACGCATACGAAAGAGAAAGGTATCTCCTCGCCTTGCCCTATTCAAAGGCGTTCCCATTCTTTCCTTACGAGTCGGCGCTAACTACTATCCCGTCTGCACCAGACAAAACAACTCCCTCCTCGAGTCCCTATCGCAGAAGACAAGCGCCCTCAAATCAGTCACCGTAAATATATACGATAATGCACGAGACCAGGAAATGATCGATAATACCGTTCGTATATTCCATGCCGTTTCTTCTTCAGAGCCGATAAACTAACTCCCTGACCACCGGAAATGGGCCTATAGAGCGATGTCTTCTCATCTCTATCGACGAACATCAAAGGCAGTGCAAGCCGGTTGACACGCATGGCCAGGCAGGGCGACAAGATAGCCGTCTTGAAACTTGCGGCCATAGTGGTAGGAGCCGGCCTTGTGCTGTGGGTTGTGCTAGGCTGGATATTTTGAAGCGATTCCAAATTGCCAGAATGATAACGCGGCGCTCCCAGCCCCTACGGAAGTTGCATATAATGCTGTTTCTGAACAGGATCCGGTCAGTTTGACGAAGAGCCGCTGTCCTTACGGTCCCTGGGTGTATATATGGTGGTGGCCTATGCCGACTACAGGGATATTACGGTGGCGATGGGAGCGGGAGTTGATGTCCCCAGGGCCTTGATACTGGGTTAAGGGCTACAATACATATGAATAAACACTAAGTGCATGATATCTGGCGTTGGGTTCTTGTTTTCTGTTTCAGCGTGCAAAAATGCAGGAGTTTTAGTTATTGGTGTGGAGGGAGTATGGAACTCTGACCTTTTTGATATCTGTTACCATGTAGTTCCCCTTGTCCCTATTTTATGCCAGCACACGACTAATCTTACTTGAAGAAATAACAGTAATCGACAATGCACTCAAGCATTAGGCTCTCCTAAGAGGAGAGAACAAAGGTGGCTAAAAAATAAATTAGAATGCCCCCACTCGGATTCGAACCGAGGACCTCATCATAGCATGAGTACGAGTGATGCGCTCTACCACTGAGCTATACGGGCGACCTGTGAGTGGGTTTTCGCCATTAACACTATTTATAGCACTTACACGTAATGGGTAAAATCGATGTATTCTGACCTCTTGCCTTTCAGCTGGCCAAAATGTATATGGAGTATGGATGTTCGCTGCAGCCTGTCGGGGGTACTAGTGTAAGGACCTAGGTTGAAACCAAATTGCCGTGTGCATGGATGTGCTAGAATCTAGCCTATCCGGTCACTCAGTCATCATCCCCTTCCCCCTGGCCCTGCGCCATCACAGAGCATATCTAAGTTATATAAACAATCTCGAATGAGGTGAGTTGTGCCGGACTATATAGAATTGATGAAGGCTACAGAAATAATTGACGGTTTGCCTAGGCCGTTGCTTTATAGCAAAAATAAATGCCGGAGAGAAAGAGTAGGGTTCCCTAAGCCCTCTCAATTAGCTTGCAAGTTAAATAACTATCCACCTTATGCCCTTGAATCGTAAAACAATAGCTACACCTGCTTTTGCTGGGTGCAGCGAATACTCTTCTGAAAGTCCAGCTTGTACAAGTCACAATTAACCCAGCTATACCTGGTGGGTTATCCAGGCCAACGATACTCTCTTGATACCCAACTTAGACGTATGAGTGTTATACCTAGACATGCTCCGTATAAGTGCAGGGCAATTTATTTAGTGGTATATACACCGATCAAGTTTAAGATAACTCTTCCTGCAACAGTACATGAAGGTGACCGCTTTTCTTTTGTGACTCACCTGAGGTCTCGCTATTTCTCGCAACATCAAACAATGCATTGCCGTCTCATGGGAATGTCGCTCCCAGGGGACCCTAGAAAAGATGGGAGAGTTGTGCAAATCAGCTATTAATTATATGTGACATGTGCCCACTGGTTTAACTCCCGGGATATCAAAGAACCTGGACACAGCAATTTAATCCCACAAACATTTTCTTTTAAAGATCCTTCAAAATGGAATCCGGATACGGAGTATGCTTGATTTCTTTAAACAGACTGAGAAGTCCTTGGCAGTTGACCTGCTCAACGTATGTATACCTTAACTTACCCACGGGCTTTAATAATAATTGCTAATGTGACCAGCAAACATTGTTGATACCATCTAAAAGTAGCCGCGAGTGCCTCAGCCCGCTGGCTATAATTGTTACAAGGTGGACGAAGGCTACATGGGAGCCTTTGAATCTCTGGGATCATATGGAACGGGGAAAAGGGGTTGGTGATTCCTTATCTGATAATTCAACGGTTACTTTTGCTCTCCACAGCGTTTAACGTGTGGTAACTAATATCAGAGCCTAAGGCTGGATCTTGAATCTTTGGTGACCTCTGTCGGGACCTGAGTTCGAGATCTCACCTTGTGGATCGTAACTAACGGAATGACTCCATTCTTATGTAGCCACATCGAACCTGAACCTTAACTAACCGCCCAGGGTCCATGGCCCCTGCCCAGCCCCTGGCCTAGCAACTCGAGTATCATCTCCTCTTTTCTTCCGACGAGACTTACGTTGGGGCCCATTTATATTCTCCTTAACTGATCTTCACCAGAGTAATATATTTGTTGATGAGAACTGGAATATCACTTCACTTGTGGATCTTGAATGGGGTTGCTCTCTACCAATTGAGATGACTCACCCGCCTTATTGGCTTGCGAGCGAATTCGTTGATACTATCAAGGAAGATGAATACAAAAGGCTATGGACAGAATTCATACAAATCCTGGCCCAGGAAGAACTTGATACCAAACGGGAACCACAGTTATCAATGATAATGACAAGAGGATGGGAGATGGGTACCTTTTGGTATTCACTTGCTCTCCAAAATCCTCTTGCCATTTTCCGCCTATTTATTGATAGGATTCAAACAAGACTCATTAGGGAGGACATATATGAACAATATGAACAGGAATACGGTCTTATTATGGCATCACATTGGGCTTTTGATATCACCGAGACAATGAACAAGAAGGTGGAAGACCGAAGAAAATACGACAACAAACTCCGGCACACTTTCGGTGAACCAGAACTATGCGAGTGAAACCCTTACTTCTGGCTGGATCCCTGGGTTCCCATGGCCTCCTGATTCTCTGTGCCTTCCTCATTCTCTGCGCGGTTCTCATTCCTGCTCAGCATGTCATACGCCATTTTCAGATTGATTCCCACTCCTTTGTCTTTGGAGCGTTTGCCGGAATATTTGAGGTTTGGAGTCTGATTTTACAGTAGAATATCTACTAACTAATACATTATTTTGCAGATACGAATCTTGCGGACCCTTGCTGCTGGACTTTGTAATACACTGCAGAAATGCAAAAATGCAGAAATACAATTGACGCTTGGCAGAAATTCGAAGTAAGTATTTTTATATACCACATTATTGCGTATCTGGCTCTGTTGACTTCTTACTCCGTAACAATACCCGATGGCCCGTATTTTGCTTACGCAAGATAAATATTCCAAGATCTAATTCTTCGTCACCCTCCCTCAATATACCCATACACATGTTTGTAAGATTTGTGGCAAAGTCATTCCGTTTGGGCTTGGTGCTGCGGCCTTGTGGGATCTAGGAAGTGATGTTGGAGTAACGGGGCGGCAAGCACGCTTTGGTTCAGACATCATTTATGGACGAGTAGTTATGGAGTGCTAGGATACGTATCTGATATTCTCCTGAATTCTACATCAGGGTCTAGGAGCATCTTGTTCCTTTTTATCTATCGCGCCGTAGCAGTGCCTGAGTACCTCATGCTGGCTTTTGGCATGAGAACGCCCTCAAGACCGATGATGGTACAACGGGTTATTACGTTCATTTGGACAGGTAGCCAACAGATACGGACTGGACCAGCCCAACCTTAGTTATTGGCGGTATTCTTAAGCCACTCCTTAATTCATAGCTTGTGGATGATGTTTAGGCTCTGGATCTTGTTGTAAAACAAAATAATTGATAGCCAGTTATGAGCTGACAGAAAATAACTACCTCGTAATTCAATGAAGGGTGGTCCTATAACCCACTTCAATAACACAGTACCTATTTATTACTGTCCACATCTCTATAACTGTCGTATAAGAACAGTCAACATAAAGTAATCTAACCAAAGTGTTTCTATCTAAACAATTTTCTTCTCAAAACTTTTCCAGAGTAACTAGCTATTGGCAGAATCGCAGGAAGATGAATTATCCAAAGTAATAAGTTGTGATATATTGGTATACAGTGGACATCATGATGATGACACTGAAGGTTAAGGGAGTTGAATACCACGTTAGGGCAGTGCCGTGACCTACATTCTAAGGGAGAAATCCCTTCAAACGCTCGACAGTGGTCCCGCATATGGTTTGCAAAGGATGACTGGATTAAAAGGGGCTGGAGACGCGATATGGTTACTCCCTAATACCAAAGTATTAGGGTAAAAGCAGCCATTGCAGTATAGCAAATAGAGTTACTGTATAATTGGGCAATTAGTTTAGTGGTATAACGTCCGTTTTGCATACGGAAGGTCGTGATTTCGATTATCACATTGTCCACTTTTCTTTTTCTTTTTTTTTTTCCCCCCCTTGTTCCGTCAATTTGGTGGATTTATCTACTTTAACAGAGAGAGTCGTACGATAAACAGTGCATAGTCAGCAAGTTGTGCAAGAAATCAAGGACCGCTCCAGTCTTCTTCTGCTACGGTCAACCGTGAAGTGAAATACATGTTTCATAGCTGCTGGCTACTTCTACCTGATAATAATCCTACGCAAGGAGCAAAGAGGGCGAAAAGAAGGAGACACGTGACGCGGCTCCAGGCGATGACTGCATCGACACGACGTCAAAAGATCAAAGAGCGAGAAGAAGAAGATGGAACAGCCCGTCGCAAACAACACGAACTCGCCGCGTTCAGTGTTGCCAAATCATATTATAAATGCCATCTCGGTTTACCGGTGCTCTCCATTCTTATCCAAGCACAAGAAATGCAACTATCTACCAGTCACAGTATCCGATCGAACCAAGTGACTACTGCCGAGCATGGATGACACGCCCTCCCTCTGGAATGTAAGTAGCGAGCGACGCTTAGGTCTTTTCTAGACCATGAATATACCTCATATAGCCACCTGTTGCCATATATTTATCTTATCATTCGATTAATACGGTATTCCCAATAGGAACTTGAGAACGAGTATTGCCCTCCTCTGGACCCTGCTCTTTTCGTCGCAATTGTGAGCGATTATGCCCTCGACGACCAGTCTGCCGTCCAGCAGCTTCGAGAGACTCTGGATGCATTAAAGATATCTGCATTTGAACAAGAAGATGCCATTTTTGACCCGTCAGGAACTAGCGGATTTGATTTTCCAGAGGACGCATCGGCCATTGCCTCTGCACAGAGCGAACCGCAGACCTTAGGGTCTCACGAAACCAACACAACAAGCCTTGGATCAACTGTCTCTTCGCTCGGTGTAGAATCAAGCAACGACCCTGGACAGAGAACGGGAGGTGGAAATGGTGATCCAAAGTGGCCGGGTGACTGTACAACCGCCGTAAGGGGCCTCAATAGGTCGAACTCGGAAGACCAAGCGCAATATTTAAATGAGATGTTCCCCTCAATCGATCGATATACTGTTTTACATACGCTTGATAAATATGGTGGAAACGTTGACAAGGCAATGGATGTGCTGTTAAATTTATCATTTTTTGAGAACGGTCAGACTTCTGGGACGGATGAGGACCAGATCTTGGTTCCTAAAGGAGTCGAGGGATTCGAGCACTCGGTCGGTAACGGCAAGTCACGCAGGAGAGGCAAAAAGAACAAGAACAAGCAACATCTACAACACCTGTCTGAATCTGATCTCTCGCAGACCTCCTTAAGCGATAGCAGTGGAGCAAAAACTGAAAATAGATGGGATAATGGGAAAAAAGATATGGAATTTATTGCTTCGAGAACGCTTCTGACCATGTCGACTATTAGTTCAGCATACCATTCAAATGGCGCGTCACTCCCAGCAACTATCCGTGCTCTTACAAGAGATGAAGCAAAGAAATGCTCCGCAGAAGGCGTGGGAGACGATGTCACTCGCTCCCAAATTGCCGAATTGCAGGAGGAATTCAGAGCGCTCTCTCATCAAGAACTCGTTGGCCTCCTCAGGTTGACAAGAAATTGCATATCCGCCGCGAACGAGTTAGCAAGAATAATGGTAATTGAGCCGATACCAAGCCTTATACAACCAGAATATCGAGCAACGGGGCCGTCCGGCTCACTCCAAGCTACCACTACCTCAAATACATCCCGTACGCCTACCAGGACTTCATCCGTTCCTGCGGCAACAGCTGTTAGATCAAACTACAACCCTGTCATCAGCAGGGCCATTGCAGACAGACATCTCATTGCAAGTCAGCAGGCGTTTGAAAAAGCTCACTCCGCTTATCGTCGTGGAAAATCGGACCGCCTTATGGGCGGTGCAGCAGGATATTACTCATCCCTCGGCCGCGAGCATTTTGAGAAGGCGAAGAGAGAGTCAGCTATTGCTGCTGATGCACTTGTCTACAGCCAGTCAACAAGCAGCGTTCTAGACCTGCATGGAGTGAGCGTGCAGGATGCGGTGCGGATTGCAAAACGGAGTGTGGAATCCTGGTGGGAGTCTCTAGGTGATGAGAAGTACTCCAATCGTTTGCGAGCACAGCCTGGAGCACGAAGCTACCGTGTCGTTACTGGGCTTGGACGGCACAGCAAGAATGGTACTGCAAGATTAGGTCCTGCCGTTGCTCGGTGCCTGGTACGAGAGGGATGGAAAGTTGAGGTTGAGCGGGGTGCGCTGGTTGTGACCGGCCAGGTTGGTTATTAATAAGGCATCCATGTCCCTGAGCGATTAAGGCGGTTTTACTGTCAGTGAATGCCTGCCATGTTGTGAGTGTCTAGCCTTTGGAATTTTGATACCCGGCTTTGTCAGCGTTGGTTTACGATGATGAAAAGATAGTAGTACAGTAGAATTTCTATCTATAAGCTATACTATGAATAGAACATGATTTCAAATAGCTAACAGCAACATCGCTTAAGCCCTCCGCGGATGCTTCGCCTTATTGATTCCACAACGGGCTTGGCGTTGGTTCAACCAACCTGTAATTTAAGCTTAAACCGGCCGCAAACGTCATTTCTTGATTTTGGGTATGTGGAATCCATTTTATATGAACATTTATAAGTAACCGCATCGACTCTACAAATTCGACAACTCTTTTTTCATGTCTTTCACGCGAGCTGTATACAGATCAATTGCATCTGGACTTGCGCCTACCAGATATACAGTCACATCTCATATTACTCGATTCAGGCATAGACCACCACTTATCCGGCCAGTTCTGCTGGGAAATTCATCTATGATCGGATTCCTGTCTTCCTTTTTAAGCAGTTCTAGCTCCAGTGCAAGTTCAAAGAATATGGCAAACTACCCTGAAAAACGGACAGATGCAGAATGGCGCGCAGTTCTCTCGCCAGGTACGTCCAAAGCTACTCCAGCTTTGTTGAAATCCTGCCTATGCTGACTACTCAACTAACCCAATAAATAGAGCAATTTCGTATTCTTCGCCAGAAAGGAACCGAACGCGCCTTCACCGGAGAATATGACAAGCATATGCCCGAGTCTGGCGTCTATCAATGTGCCGGTTGCTCTGCACCGCTATACAAGGCTTCTCATAAATTCAAATCAGGCTGCGGCTGGCCGGCATACTTCGACTGCATCCCCGGCTCAGTCAAACGTCTTGAAGATCGATCTTTTGGTATTAGTAGAACGGAGATTGTGTGCTCGAATTGCGGAGGCCACCTGGGTCATGTCTTCAAGGGAGAAGGGTACGATACGCCGACTAATGAGAGACACTGCGTGAACAGCATTAGCTTGAAGTTCAACGAGGATGAAGGGGCCGCGAAGGCATCCAAAGAGAACATATAAGTCAAGAATCCATCTTGCAGTCATGTAATTAGTTAATGAATATATGTAAATTTAATGACACGAGTTGTTATGCTTTTCCTCTTCCTCATTCCACCGGAGATAAGGATTATCACGTGATATTCTATGTATTATATAAGCAGAATTAATGCGGGATTGAAACGTCAAACGCGAAGTGACTTCTCGTTGCGCTTTCGACGAACTTCAGTGAAGGCAGCAAGAATATCTCTGATATACCTTTCCCGCGAACGCGGAGAGTGCTCCGTAGCCGTCTGAATTGACATTTACAACCAGTTATATATCTGATCTTTCGTCCATCATTTTTTGATCAACTGCCCGGTTTGCCGGTATCTTTCTCGAAACATGTCTCGCCGCCCACCAGCCTATGATCGGGCAGCCCAGAATCAGCAGATGATAAAGAATCTACTGAAGCTGACCTGCAATAAAACCTGTGCCGATTGTAAACGGAATAAGCGTGAGTCTAATTTGTTTCGTATCTACCACTTTCATGGCTGGGATTTGGTTTTGATGCAGATAACCCCCTGAATGTTATGATATACTTATCATCTTACTGACTTCTTCCCTATAGACCCAAGATGGGCGAGCTGGAATATTGGCGTATTTATTTGCATTCGATGCTCCGGTATTCATCGAGGAATGGGAACCCATATCAGTCGAGTGAAATCGGTGGATCTCGACTCCTGGACAGACGAGCAACTACAGAGCATTATGAAATGGGGGAATGCAAGGGCAAACAAGTACGGTGAAACTGGATATACACAGACCGGAGTCCGGATATGTCTCTTTTCGGCAAGACTGACTGTTATGGAATAGGTATTGGGAAGATAAATTAAACCCTGGACACGTCCCATCAGAAGCGTATGTGCAACCTGTATTCACGCCACGAGTTCTACAGTGACGCAATGCTGATTTACTGGACAGGAAAATTGAGAATTTTATCCGAACAAAGTACGAATCCAAACGATGGGTGATGGATGGTCCGATGCCCGATCCATCTACACTCGAGGTAGAAGGTGATGAGGATGTGGTACGTCACTGGAGAAAAAAATCTGTTAAGGCTACCAAGTTTTCTAACCTCTGTATAGCCTTTAGCAGTCATACAGGAGAAGGCCAAGCTAGAACGCTCTGCGTCTCAACAACAGCATAGCTCGAACCGCCCCCGACCCACTCAGCCTCAACAGCCAGCCGTGAACTTCTTCGATGATGAGCCAGCGAATCCACCCCCGAGACCGAGGACCACAGACATACCAGGGAACAGGCCTCCTCCTCAGGCTGCTGTTGCTCCAAAAGCCCATAAACCAGCCGACTCATTGCTTGGGTTGGATTTCTTCGGTCCCAGCCAACCAAGTGGCGGATCTAACCGCCCAGCAAGCACTCCGGGTGGAAATACTCCCACCTCAGGTCCTTCAAGACCAGATCTCAAACAATCAATTCTATCTCTGTATGCTTCTGCGCCACCTAAACCTCAAGAACAACCTCAACATGAACGAAACTCTTCATTCAGTTCATTTTCGCCCCCACCTCAGCAGCCCTCCAAACCAGATGCCTTTGGCGGTCTTAGCGATGCCTTCAGTGGGCTGAGTTTCCCTTCCACTACGTCCCCTCCTGTTCAGAGACAGCAATCCACCTTTTCTGCCTTTGACAGCCTCACTAGCTCCAAATCTTCACCTGCGGCCCCAAAGATAACCTCACCAGCTATGTCGAGTGGTGGTAGCTTCTTTGACGATATTTCAGCGCAGCCAGACCCAAAGCCACGCCAAGTTGCATCACCACCTCCCTCTACTTTTGACCTGATGGGATCAACAGTAGGATCGACAAAAGCGCCCGCAGCGCCACCCAGCGCGTCTAAGGATATGTTTGGCCTTTTCTCCTCACCAGTGCCGCAGGCAACCACTGCTCCGACGGCAACAGACACTATTAATACTTCGCCGCCGGTAGCCTCTCCTAGCCAAACTTCTGTCTTCAATCTTTCTTTACCACCGCAGCAACCAACCGTTAAATCTCCACCTACAAGCACCGTTAGTCCCTCAAACGCATTTTCCGCAAGCACACTGGACCCCTGGGGCGGGAATGCATGGAGCATGGCCGAACCATCACCCCCCGCGGCCGCTTCAAAGGCCACATCCGCTATGAAGGTCCCCGATACTTTAACTGCGAACGACATAGGTAGCGGTTGGGGAGCACCCTCTCCTGCTACCACCAAGCCAGCTCCTGCGGTCGTTGCTGATGAAGATTTTGGCGGATGGGCGGACCCAACCCCAGCGCCAATCAAGAATGGAAATAGCAGCTCTAGCAAGGGTAAATCTAGCGGTTTTGGTGGTGGTGATGACCTCTTTGCGAATGTTTGGGAGTGAAGCGGCCCTAGAAGCGATACTGGTTATGGCCTTTGCACTCCCTCGTATTAGAGCTTGGGAATAGTCAAACCCATGAGAACCGTATATTTAGCCTGTCATCTAGCATGAAAATGAAAACACCATAGATGCATTTATTTCCATTGCTTGTTTTGGCCGCCTACCGTCCTTTAATAGCATAAACTGAATCCAGGGCATACGAAACGGCAATATACCTTTCAATATGTACTTCGACCATGGCTGCCTCCTTACATGGTTATCTGCGTACGGCTGTTTCCGCCCTCCTTGCCCATTGCACCTACTTCTGGCCATTACTATTAGCCAGCAACGCCTTCTATTTGCAACCTTTGAAATCCTTTGGCAGGAGCTTTGCTCAAGCAAAGGGTTCGGCTTTTTATATTTGCTGCCAACTTAAGCCACCTTCAACTTGATATACCCGCTGTATGGATACCCGAGTTTGCAGCTATTATCTCAATACATTGAACGTCTTCTGCTGGATCAGCCAATATGATGCTTAAATTTTTCATAACCGTCGTGGCGCTTGCTACATCTGCGCAGGGCATGTGTTACGCTCTACCTGCCAATACCAGATCGCTAAGATAACCACGGCTAACGCATCAACTTGTGATTTCTCCAGCTATTCGTATTACTTACCCAGGTAGAGGCCTGGTTCTGGATCTATCGCTCCATAACGATGTTAAATGGATTCCCGCCCAGTATGCCGCTATTACTGACTGTTTTCATTCAGCCTTATTAAATCTAATAGGCCAATAGGACCGACCCTGAACGCTTCTCGATCGAGCTCGTGAATATGGCGGTTAATCCACCAGTTATTGTCGAGGTTGCCAACGACGTTGAAGTATCAAAGGGATCTATACTCATCCCTCCAGTGGTCAAAATTACACCCGGGTAGGTAGCAATCTGGTATCATGAAAAATCTAAGATTCGATCCCATTGATAAGGACAGTATTAATAATATTCTATGGACATATAGGGAGTCTTATCAGTATCATTTTATTTCAAATGACCCGAAGAACCACGACATCCTCGCTCAGTCACCCCCTTTTACAGTCAAGAAACCTGAAGTTGTTCAGCCGAATAACCCACCGGCTGCTACCGTCCCTTCGAAATCGGCAGAGACTGGAAAGCCCGGGACGTGGCCAAAGTTGCCCGCTGACACCACAAGTATTTGACCATTTCTATATATTCTAACTCCAAGTTGTTTGCCTTTTGCCAGCTGCTAATGTCATCCAAAGCGACTATTACTTCTAGCGAGTCGGCCAAAATTACTACATCTACAACACCAGCCCATGCAACTACGTCGAAATATATCCTGTCAATTCCGACTATTAGCCCTTACCGCAACACTGGAGCATCAATTGGAAGTTTTATATCAATTAGCTGTGTTCTGCTAGCTCTCGCGGGTCTCGTTAATGTGGTTTAATAGCAAGCAACTAGTGCTAACTAGGACTCTTGACAGTGGGTTTGGTCAAAACTTCTCTTACGGGAGGGTGTCTATGGTGTGTAACGTTGCGTTTTTTGTTGTGTTAATTGTCCTTAAGTGATTTTGATACCTATCGCTTATCTCTTTGTGTCCGAGGCGCATAACACGGCACAATTCCAGTCCCTACTTTATACTTCAATACAGGAGTGTTAGTACATGACATAGCTACGATTATAGTGGTTTTATGTGGAGATAGAGCCGTCAGCTATCACTGACTTATTAAGATAGAAACTGTAAGATGTCTCATTTAGAGATTGGGACAAGCTTATCCAGCCAGGTTTGATAATTGGTCTTTAAATGAGGGTTAGATACAGAAGGCCAAACCATGGTGACATGTTTGATTCATCACTTCTACTCGTACTCAATCTGTCGCCCACCTACATCGGCTATAGACAGTATGGTATTCACCAATGGAAGCGGATAGTACTCTCGAAGGTAAGCAGCTACAAGATCGTTGCCATTCGTCACTCCGCCTTCGTATAAGTTAGCACTTCATGTCCGCAGTTATCTATACATACAATGGAAGAATCATACCGCTCGTCCAGACATTTCCATCCTTCACTACTCTTCGCGTGGTGTCCCACTTCTTCACATTGGGGAATTTCACTTCCAAGTCGGATATCAATCCTCGTGGACCAGTTACGTTCTTGTGGTCCAGGATACCGGCATACCCGGCAACATAGCTCCCGGTGCATATCGCTAAAATGTCGTTCCCGGCGTCATGGTGTGCCTTGACAAACGCCAATACAGATTCATCGGGAATGTACTTTGGATCCGGCCCTGGTATCACCAATATATCCAGGCTATCAGTCGAGACGGAGGTGTCGTGGATCGAGGCAGTGAGTCTGATGCCGATGTTTGCCGTGCACCGGATAAATGTGCCAGCACAGCTAGGCTGTATACCGATATAGTTGATATCGACTGGTACTCCCAGGCTAGCAATCTCCGGAGGAAGGACATCAACTTCACTAATGTAGTCCTTTGATATCATACCGAAGAGATCAACAGCTGCTAGGTCGAGGAGCTGAACTGAGTGGGTCAGAAGGACTCCGATCCGGAGTGTTTTTGAATCGTTGGCGACCATAACGGAATGATGTAGCTAGGAGAACGGAGACAAGCGGCTGGATCGTGATATTCAATTGAGAAACAGCTTGCGGTCATGAGCTGATATCGTACTATTTATATTACTGCTGCTGTTTGACGAGCTGAATTTCATATTTGTAATCCTCTGTATGAGTAAAACGGCCTGACGCAGGATAGACCAGTTGGAAGCAAGGGTGAAGAACATTCCCAGGACAAGGAGGTGAGAACATTATGCAGAACTGACTGTTGATGGTAGGATTTAGTGCTCCCACCGGGGCAATAGTCCATCCGTCAAACTAGGCGTAGAGTTTTTGTGTACCGCAAGTCGGAGAGTCGGTACCTACTTGGCAGGAGGCCTGACTTCTATCTATCCGTCTCCTGGCTGCCATCCCGCATTATAAAACAGGCGTGACGTATTAAAAGAACCGAGTCGGTGAAAAATATTTCCTTCATCCAAGTTTCGAACGCTATTAAAACTGAATAGTACATGACTGGGTCCATAAAGACATGCTATATTTTTTTTGTTTTTGGAGAGTGACTAGCTCCTCCCATCAAAAACCCTATTTTCACCCCTTTCGCCCTGACATGGAAAATATGGCTAATCTTTTGAGGGTATCTGGATTGAGAAAGAAATGTGACCGTCTATTGAACAAGAAAATGGAAACAAATGCTGGAGGAAAGTTGGGAAGGTGATGACAGTTCAGGGTGGGTTGTACGTTTAAGAAGAGTCGAGCTCATTTAGGAATGCAAATATCTCCTTGGTTAAACTGGGATTCTCGGTTGCTGCTTCAATCAGGTGTGAGCGTTGCGATCCAAAGACTACCTTTCGCCATGGCAAGTTGTTATATTGACTGCCAGATGGTGTGGATGGAAGTCCAATAAGGATGTATCTCATTACAAGCAATGCCTTGTATGCAATTCCGTAAGGTTCGCCGTGTTCGTCGACAGGTGTGGGATAAAGCTTGAATAGTCGGGCACATTTCGGCTGGATGATGGCTCGGGGTGGAATGGGTGGTGGCTTGGTCATGTCTCGAAGGGGAGGAAGGTGAGCGGAGACGTGTCCAGCTATCAGTGCAATATTCGGCGTGGGAGCTAGGTATTCTGAGCAGTAGTCCCAGTGACATGCGCGAGGGTTAGAAGGCTGCGGCTGTAGATCCCATCCGCCTGAGGCCAAGGGGCTGAGTTGAAGGTGGTCTTGGAACACATGATTGCGCAGAATAGCAGGATCGATGAATACATGATCACACCTGATCTCTCCTTGTTTGCCCCAGAGACAGTGAAGGCTCGGAAACCCGTCCAGGTTGTAGGTGGTTTCAAGGGGGCGGATGCCACGGATAATGAACCGAGCAGAGGGGCCTTCAACAACTTTGGCCTGAGCAGAGGAGAAGGTATTGCTAACTGTGCTGATGAACTCAGTGGCTTGGAGAGTATCGGCTGATTGGACACCTGGGATGCGGTTTTGAGAGAAGCACGCTTGGTAGGCCTGCCAGATTGCCAGTTGAGTAATTTCACATTCTGGATCTTCGACAAAACAGCATTTGAGCCAGAGGCTGCAACGTTCCGGTTCGGAGTGCTTAACGAGGTCACGATAAAGATCTTGGTGTGGAATAGGGATTTGGTTGGGAGGCGGGGCCTTGCGCTCAGCTTGATCAATGATTTCCTTGTTGCGGACCACGCTGCCGTAGTCCAAGAGATGGACAAGGTGAGGTATAAGGTCAACTGGAAGATTGAAGTCTGCGACAAGCTGCTGCACATTGAGTTGGTAGCGGGAGAACTGATACAGGAAATCGAGGGCGACAGAAAGAAGTTCGGGATCTTGCTTGAGAAGTGTGAGGCGGATGACCTGTTCGATAGTCTGGCTCGGGATCCTATCAATGATCTTAGATTCGATGCGCTCAATGGCGAACAGAGAGAGACATTTTAAGGCGGTTAAGAGTTGAAAACGGTCTTCACTGCTTATCAGCTTGATAAGTGTCTGGTATAACGGGTCTTGGTCCCAAATGTCCCAGAAGGGACAAGTTTGTTCAATGATTTCCAAAAAATAGTTCTTGAGTTCTATGAACCTGTCCTGACAGGGAAGATTGAGGACGATAGTTGCACAGTCTCTCAGCAGCGGCTCTTCGGCAAACCAGCGGGCGTTTTCCTCAAGCAGGCACATGTTTCGGATAATGAGGGCTGCCTGGTTGACACGCTGGAGTCTAATGCGGAACGACTCATCTTCGAGGTTGGTATCGTCAAGGCAGACTTCCTTGGATTGGATACGATGTAGAAGATCAGGTGTGCCAGTCAAGGCGAAGATGACATTGAGATTTTTGGAGGAGATATTATTTGGGTGATCGAGCTCGATGACCCATTCCTGGCCGTAGACGAGAAGAGAAACCTTTAAAACTTGCTTAACAAGGGACTCCGCTAACATGTTAAAGTCACTAAACTTGAGTTTGTCTCCTCGTTCATCAGAAATGACAATAAGATGGTGAAGGGCAAAATCAACTTCCTTGTCGATGTCCGATCGGATGCCCATCCAACAGAATCGATAGATATTGGGAACTGTTTCAGCGTTAGAATCAGGACCAACCAAGAGGCAAAAAGAAGGCATACCTTGATCTGGTAGAGCGAGTGTCATGAGAGGGTCGATATCAGGAGGCAGCGGTAAACGCGAGGAAGAAGTAGCGAAGACACCACGCCGATTGCTCGGGGTATCATGCTCGATGACGTCCATTTTGGGAGTGACAACAGAGGCAGATAATGAAAAACAGAGAGAAAAGAGAGAGGGTATGTATCGTCCAGAGGAAGAAAAGGAAGAAAAGGGTGAGAGGAGAGGGTAAGTCTAGGATTGCGCCTCCGCGGCGCGTTTGCGCTTCCGTGACTGGCGAATCTTTGGTAACGCCGCGTTTGCTGGACATCCCCCATTAGCGCGGCTGCAGACGACGGAGGGACACGGGACAGAGACAAAGACAAGAAAGATAGGACCTACCTGCCCTTGCCTGAGACTCGCTGGGGATCTCGGACGGAGGAATCAGCAGCAGGTAGTATTCGAAGTCCCTATAGGAGAACGGTCAGTAAGGCACTCTTCCTAACAGGTGGGAGATAACTCACAGCAGCCGCTCTGCGTACAGCTGCTTAACCTGGTACGAGAGGGTTCCAACCAGGCCAGGAGGGACACCGGCAATATGGCCGGCTTCCCACCAGTTCTTCTTGTCCTTGGAGGCCTCGTCAAAGCCGCCTCTTGTTACAATCTGGACGAATAGCGTGTAGACGTTGATTTTCTTGCTGCCGGCCGGCCAACGTGTTCCAGGACGGGCTTCCCACGACTCGCTGCTCGATCTGGTTTCCGGTCATCCCAGGTTAGCAATTAAACACGCCCGTCGCCAGCCAACGCAGACCCGAAGACATGGAACTCACTTTCCCTGGCCATAGAAGTGCCTCAAGCTCGCCCAGAAGCGCTGTTCGTCCTCGCAGACGAGCTCGGTGGCCGTCTTCTTTCTCTCCATCTGTCGTTCACGTGACTGTAACTTGCTTGGGCTAGGTTGGTGGTTGTGCACGTGACTATCAGGGCAGAAAAGGTAAATGGTTTGATCACCAGAAGATCCAAGCTTGTGCACGTGATGATAAATTCTTGAGAACATAATACGCTAGCCTCTTTAGGACTAGCGTAGCCCTAGTCCATGATTATTAATCAGAAGAGCAAAGAGTCAGGTGACCCACCTTCTCCTTTCTTGGCGAGTTCCTTCTTTCTTCTGCTTGAGAACAGGAGGGAAGTTTTATCAGGAAGAGGAAGAGAAAGAGATTGAAAAGAGTCTCTAGAGCTTTGAAAGGGAGGAGGATATTGCTGCCACTTCATGATAATGGAGCTATATTCTTATGGCTACTAGCAACCAGTGGCCTTTGTTAGACCCAATCACCCTTTATCTCAATGTGTCCTGGAGCAGATTCTACTGTATTCTATCTACAAAGTCCAATAGTGATGGATTCAACACCTATCATTACTCTGGTATGTTCTGTTATTGTCTTCTAAAGGGATGTGTGACAGTACTAAAAACTCATTGCTTGAGAAGACCTTTCACAATAGCATATTAGATCCAGGCTCATTATATCTTGTAATGATATAAGGCTCTTATTCATTATGAATATTCAATAAATCATTCGAATACACATGCCAAGATACTTTATATCCTACATAAAGCTAGTGATATTCCACTATTGCAGGATTGGCCAAGAATATTCACACTATACTATATATATGCCCAAAAAAACTATGAAGAAACCGGTATCACATTTACTTTACAGGATACCCTTCACTTCCTTCTTGGGTTGGATGAATCTCTTGAGCTTTGGCCTGGCATGGGTCTTTTGTTCAAAGGCATATGCCAATCCAATCAACTTCTCCTCACTCCAGAGATCACCCATGAAACCAATGCCAATAGGAATTCCAGGACCCGAGGTGACAAGTTCTCTATCGTGGTTTACCTTGGTTCCATTTGGGTACACGCCCATTGGAACAGTGATAATAGGCGACCCTATCAGAGCTGGGATATATGGCGACAGATCGGTAGGGAGAACGGCAGCGTCAAGTTTGTGACGTCTCAAGGCACCAAGAATGCCCCCCTCATTGCCGAACTTCACGTTCTTCTGGTACATTGGCCAGAACTTAGGGTCTGTGTTTTTTATCCCCTTCTGCAGGGCAATGTCCCATCTAGCGGTATCGCGGCTGGGATACTCTTCCAGACGATGGTGTTGGGTGAATCTGCGGAGACTCTCAAGGTCGGTGATGTTGTGAGGGTTGACCTTGAGTTGCTTGAAGAAAGCAGGCAGGTTGGTCAGGCTGTCGGCATAGAGGATATCGTCTGGGATGGGGCTCTGAGCGAATTCAGCAAAAGAAGTGAAGTCTGTGTTCTCAACTATGATAGCACCAGCCTTCTTCATGACCGCCAGCGCTTGGTTGAACTGATCTACCACTGTCTGCGGTGAACCGAAGATCTTGATGACATTACGGGGGACTCCTATGCGCTTCCCTTTGAGTGCATTGATGTCGCATGCTTTGACATAGTCCGGGATGGTGTCAAAGGGGATCGCGGAGGTATAGTTGTCATTCGAGTCCTTGCCTGCAATTACTTGCAGCAGGTAGGCTGCATCCTTGACTGATCTGGCCATGGGTCCGACGGTGTCCTGGCGCTCACTGATAGGGACTACAAAACGGCGGGAAGTCAAGCCAACTGTGGGCTTGAGACCAACGATGTTGCTCTTATCAGCGGGGCTAACAATACTGCCGCTTGTCTAGAGATATAGTACACCTTATTAGCAAAAGGTTGAAATTCGTGGGTGCTGCTTGCATGCAATCGCTCACCTCGGTTCCCAAAGTTGCAAAAGCTAATCCGAGATCAGAAGCAACACCGCTTCCGCTGGAACTTCCACTGGGATCTTGGTTCTTAATATATGCAGCAGTTACTTGGCCACCATATGCGCTCCAGCCGTTGGTAGAGTTGAGCGATCGGAAGTTTGCCCACTGGGAAGCACCGGATTTGCCCATAATGACCAGGCCAGCCTCCCTCAGTTTCGTAGCCACAGTGGCATCGGCCGACGTTCTAGCGCCAAATATGGCATAAGAGCCAGCTAGACATTTCCAATTAGCCTGGGATGGGAGAGGGAAACGGCTACTCTACTAACCAGTGGAGCTCATCTTATCGTCGGTAAAGATGTTGTTCTTGATGACGATAGGTAGGCCATGGAGAGGACTGAACAAGTTATTTTCTCCCATCTTGATCAAATTGGCATCCTATTGACTTACCCTCGAAGCTTGCCCATCTTCCTCTCATTGTCCATCTGCTTAGCTATGGTAAGGGCATCGGGATTGATCTCCGTGACCGCTCGAACGGTAGAGTTGACCTCCGCGATTCTGGCAACATACGTCTGAACAACAACTATTATCAGCACGTTGCCTTGTCGATAGGGGGTTTGCAAGGTAATACGCACCTTAACAAGGTCAACGCTAGTGAAGCACCCTTTAGTCAACCCATCTTGAAGCTGATCGGCAGTAGCTTCGATGAGCTTGGGAATATCGCAAGCTTGAGGGTCTATCAATCTGTCAATAACTGCCTGTTCGCCTCCAAATGCGATACACTGGTTTGACCCATAGCTGCCATGGGCTGAGAGTATCGGAAGGTCACTTAGCTTACAGGCTGATGCAATTGAAGTATACACAGCACCAAGCTGCAGGAGGAAGGTGATGGGGCCCTTCATGATGATTGACAATTCTGCAATCAACTTGGATGATTAAAAAGTCCACTCTCTATCAATTGGGCACTAAGGGCCTCTGGGGGACTATTTAAATCATTGAGAGAAGAGTCAATGAATGCCTAAATGAATCTAGGCCTATCCCTCCCCGCTCAACCATTCCCATATGTATCCCAAAACGACCCTGTTCTCTCTGTATGGGCTCAACATGTCTGGATACGACATAAGCATCTTCGCACGAATAACATCACTTGAGTGTGACCTGACGACTCCGCCTGGGGCAGGATCTAAATCTCGGGCCAGACAGGCATCTCCAAACCTGGCCCTTTTCGCATATGTCTGCACAAGCATCATACTTTCTTGACGAGGATCAAGGGCGCAGCGCTTTATCTAGCTTCCTATTCCAGTTATGCCCGATAATTCTCCAAGCGCTGTGGGGCAGGCTAAAGTCGCTCCCGAGAAACCCGCGGCAGATGATGGATGAAAAGACCGAGAGCATGGTTGTATAGTTGGCTGGCAGGGAGTTTGAGCATTTAATATGGCCAGCTAGTTAGGCCGGGGGCCATGATATAATATCAGTACTAAAGGACTTCGCCCACGCCAGCCTGCAGTACGCTTAATGCATTTTAGGGAGGTAGTATCCAAAGGAACTATGTATGGATCTTCCGCTTTATAAAGGTCAAGCCCCATGTCTAGTGGCACGGAGTATTATCTCAGGGGTCCAGAAACTTGTGCCTGCTTATACGGTTTCAGTCCGCAAATCTCCAAGATTGGGGCTTGATTACTCCGTACCCCGGGTTGGCTAGACGGGTTGGAGATGCAGCTAATTTTATCTTACCAGATACTGCTTGAGGAAGAGTCCATTGCCTCACAGAGCTATGAATATGAGCATTGGGGGATATCCAAACTAACTAAATTGAAAGGCAGTACATAGATAATACTTAGGATCTCGATATAGCATGCACAAAAATATATACAGGGTGAAAATTTGGATCAAATAAGAGGGCAGGATATGTTTCAATCGCAACTGCTCCTTCTCTGGACCACTGCGCGAAACCGGGGCTGTGGAAGAAATGCCAGAATAATCCCTTGTCGCCAAGCTTGCGGAAGACTCTAGACGCCTTGTCTTGTCGGCCATACAGAAACATCCATGCATGCATGCTGGGGACACGGGGAAGAGAAGCGGGCATCGGGGCAAGCCAGCGGCCTGGAGATCGCTGTGGCGTCGTTGGGACAGAGTAGAGAATCACATCGCCTTAACACAGAAAAAAAAAAAAAACAAAGGACGGGAGGAAATAAGCGATAATCGTGTATGCAGGATGGGAGAGTAGCGTGTTTTTCGGACTCCGGATTCACTTGATCCAAATTTGGTTCGAAAATCGCTCGAAGGGTACAGGGGAGTCCAAAAATTGGTCGTTGACATATTGGGGGTATTATTCGAAAAGGAGGAATGATTGGGCGAAACTATGCAGTCTTTTTCCACGCAGTGTTGAGTCCGATCAAACTGCTTACGGTTCCCGCAATACCAAGAACGCCATCATCCAGGTTAACATATCCAAGGCTAGAGAGTGGAAGGGTAAGATCGCATAGATCGGAAATGAGTTGTGTTGAGACGGTAGCACGCTCCCTGCATCAGCTGTTAGCGACCTTCTGCTTGCGTTGCATCGGGACAAATCAAAACAAACCTTTGAATCTTCTTTCCTTCGACAGCTCCCTCTCCATCCTTTTTGTTTATCTTCTTCTCCATCTCACTCAATCTCCACATGGAGTAGACACCAGCAATGGCGCTGCACAGGAGTCCAGTCAACCATGCTTTCTGAGCATGAGCTTGAAGCTTTTTAACAGCTGCGAACTTGCGAATACCCGCTGCATCGAGATACGTCAACATATCAAAGGAAAGGTAGACTCCGTATCCCAGTTGTCTTCCTACAGCCAGGTATTTGAGCACTGGGTCTGACCCAGGCGCACCGGCAACGCCAGGCTTGGAGTCGAGTGCAATAGCAGCAGCCTTGAAGTGCTCGATATTCTTGCCAACACGAAGAAGCTTTCGAGTAAGGCCAAACTGCTTTTTCATAGCCTCAAATGGGTTTATAGTGGACTGTGCTCTGTTTGTACGGAGGAGGTACCAGGCGAGGAAGCGAGAAAAGTATTGCAACGTTCGTAAGACCTTATCGCGGCCGACTAGACACCAACCAGTTAGCTAGACATTCCTTGGGAGACTATCCAATGTCAAATATACAGTGCTTTATATATATATATA